AGGGTGGAAAAGGTTCGGTTGAAAGATCGTGGAAAAAAGATATATCGACATCCGTTGGTAATTTGTAATTCTGAAACTGTTGTACAGTGAATCATCGATGAGTGTCCGAAGGCTCCTCGGCACTGACAAGAAGTCCCCAGGTGTAACATTGACTTAGTTTATGAAATATTTAATGTTCAGTGCCGAGGAACCTTCGAGCACTCATCGATTATTTAGTATGGTATCTAAGAGTATCATTATGACTTTCGAACAGTCAGTGAGATTATATAATTGTTTGCCAAGCTTGTACCCGTTCAAGAAGAAACACTGTATTATAAAAAAAAACTTGAATATTCACGTTCTACACCTCCAGTGCCAAAGTAACACCGATGAAAAGTCCACGAGATGGTAGTAGTTGTTTTAGTGGCGGTTTGTTTGTCGCGGTACGACGGTTTGTATAAGTGGGTGTCTGTGTACAGTCAACGGTTAAGTGACTTTAATCGTACCAACACTGTCTGGCTAGGTGGCGTGTGTAGCACCACGAACGTCACCGATATCCCGAAGTAGACGCGAATAGGTTGGTCCTCGTAACGAAAGCAACAGAGAACGGGGGCTCGTTTTGTCCCTTTGTCATCGAGGTTGGCCAGTGTCGCGACCCCCGGAACCCGACACTCGACACCGTTTGCCCTTTCCAACGACGACAACGACGGTTAGAGAGAGAAGGGCAAAGAGCCCGTTCCTTCCCTTCCGATGCCCAGATAGTAGCAGGGGCTTCGTTTATGGTGTACAATTTCCGTAAAGCAACACCGGCGACCCCCGACGAAATTAACCGAGAGCGCCCAGACAGACCGATCACACCTGCAAGATTCCCTTTCTATTCTCTTTTTTTTTTTTCTTCTTTTTTTTCGTGCCTCGACCCTTTCCCTTGACGGCGAACAAGGCTTCCTCCGATCCACCGAGATATCCAATTGTCTCCACCTCCGTGCGTGGATCTCTCCCCGTTTCTCTTTTCTGTTTCGTCTCGATACCGATATGTCTGATCGCTTTAAACCTCTCCTCCTTCCCCCACCCCCCTCAACCGAAAGGATTAGCGTTGCCTGTCGCGGAATTACCACGACGTACAGGTCTTCCGTGGAACTGGAAACCACCAGCGAATTTGTCTGGCCCAGCGGATAAACGCGGGGGATCTACGGACGATCCTGCGGGGATCCGATCAGCAAGGGAACTTCGGTAACTGGAGAATTCCGATTTTCTTTTTTAGACTTTGTGGGTTTACAGGCGACGTCGCTGGAAATATCGGGCAATTGTCTTTTTCGATATTTCTTTGGTACCTTTTGGTTGAAAACATTCCTTGAATGTTAATATGTTTCTTCCTATTTTTCCACCATTTGTGCACCGGTTAGTAACACCTTCGGTCGTTCGTCGCGGTCCAGTGACGTCCTTTCCTAACGAAAACAAACCAAAAACCACTGGAGAACAGAATATTGAAGGTGATATAGTGTCTAGAAAACTCACCAACGGGTAGTGTTCTAAAGGATTGGTGGTACGAAAGGGAAATAATCCTATCCGGGGCACACAATGAGCCCTGGTTAAAGGGTTAATTATGAGAATTTTGGTTATACCAAATCGTAGGATTGGTTCGTTGTTGGAGCATCAAGAGGAGGGCTGAACGCGGGCGTCGTCGACCTAATTAACGACGACGTCGACCTGGACCGATTCTCTTTGGAAAGTTAAAGTACCCGACGCGATCCAAACCGATAAAGGCGGTTCTCCGTATGCGTGTATCTCTCTTGGTGTGTGGCTTATTCATCGTAGCTGCAGGGCTCGTAGAGACGCGTGCACTGACTCACGGAACAAATCAGAGTCCTCCCCCCCCCCCGGTCCTCTGTACGGGGCGTTCAATATGCATGAGTTATCATCGGTAACGCAACGGGAATGAATCATATTCGCGGTCGGTGGTGTTCCAGGCGACGCTCGTTAGCCCACACACCACTACCCCTTGTACACGATCGTGTACGTACACAGAGGCGTTTCGACGACTTTCTGACACGGTGTTCGACTTCATCTTTGGCCCCTCGGAGGGGTTGTGCCTCTTTTCAACGGACCCTGTTCGCGAGACCAGATCCCCCACCCCGCGTTCGCGACCCTAACTGGTTCCAGAGATCATAACTCGAGCTCCAGGAAAGTGATATCTATCTAGAGAAAGTTGTGGAATCCAGGGCAATTGAAAAGATCTTTGTGCAAAAATTGGGTAAGTCCAGATTTTGGATGTTGTGGGAAATTGAATAGAATTGAATACGAGTTGTTTAAGCAATCACACTGATACTTTTGATTTAACGAGACATTAGCGTGGCAAATGATGCAAGGAATAATACTTATTACACTTCTAGTAAATCTTTCTCGATATGTACTACATTCCACTGTGTTTTGTAACATCGTATAACGGTGATGAACAGCTCCTTTGGGGAGGGTGGGGCGTAACGAGGGTCGGTAGTTCATCTCTATCCACAGCGGGGAGATTGGATTTATGACGCAATTAACAGTCCCTAATTGTAGCGATGAAGAGGAACCGAATGGGTGGGTCAGTGTCACTTCCGGTTCGGGAGCAGTCAACGATCGGGTGTGGATAGATGAGAGGGACAGGAAACCATAAGTCGGATCGAGAGAACGAGAAGCTCCTTCGAGACCCTTTTTCACCCTCCCCCCCCCCCCCCCCTCCCCTAGTCGTTCGTTTCACGCGCCCTCCGGTCACGCGTGGCAGAAAAAAAGAGACGTTTTAATAATGGTAGTAAACGACCAAGGGGTTGGTACACGTTGAAGGGTGTCGGCTTTCATCTCGTGGAGGATCGATGCTTCCTCGTGACGAGTAGAATAGGACTAGTACGTGGTCAGACAAGCAGAATAGAAACTGGCCAGGGTACCCTTTGCGCGAATAATTCTTGCCGCTCTGTCTATAAGCCACCATACTACAAGCGGTACGAATTATTCACTTGGAGGTCACATGGGGGATGGAACACGATCTTTTTGATTGTTGATGATTAAAGTCCTGACACCGTTAACGTTATAATTCGGACATTGTTGGTTACACTGGCCCCGTTTCTCAATGGTAATCGCCGCCGGAGGCGGTAAAAGGAATTGAGCGGATGCAAGTACCATTTCTACCCGGAGAGGGGTGGGCGAATAAAAACCGCTCCAGCAGGTATATGAATCACAGCCGGGGCTTTAATTAAATAATACCAGTAGATTTACAGCCGACGTGATTCGATATCGACCCTCTGTGCAAGGGGAATGTAAAATCCGCGGGAAGGGTGGAGAAAAAACCGTGGCAGGCGAATGAACGACCACGGCTTCGGTGGAATTAAGTCGATCCCCGTCGTATTTATTCGTATTCAAGCATATCCCCCATCCCTCTCTGTGGCCAAAGTGTCCAGAAAAATCACGGAAACTCGCAGAAAATTTCAAAGGGAAAGGAAACACGGATATATAAGGGTTGTACGGGGTGAGAAAACGAGGGTCACCCAAAAAAACCGTTTTCTGGTCGGAAATAACAGATCCAACGGGGGGCAAGAGGGTCGTTTCTTACTCGACATTATCGTTCCGGTCGAACTGTCATGGCGGCGGCTGCGACGGCGAGGGGAAATGAGGCGGCTGAGTCACGTTTTTTCCTCTCCGTTGCGGGAAGTATCGTGTGAGTCATTTATACTCTGATAAAAATCACGGAATAATAAATGGTCCGGCTGGGCTTAATGTATCGGGCTGGTCGAAATAACCGGACTGTGAAAGTCACGTCTCCGTTGAACCCAGAGGTTCGTACACACGTATGTAGGACGTAGTTATACATATAGCATTTAAGGTACCTACGCATCGAATGGATATAATTTGATTTTTTTATATCTTACTTTTTTTTTTTTGAGATGTTACGGTGACCTTGAGTTTTCTCAAGGTCAGTGCACCTTTAATAATCAAATTGTTTCCATCCGATGTGTCCCTTGAAATTATACCTAATTCATTAGAACGTATTTTGGTACAACCAATAGGTAACCAGTTGTTTCAGATAGTAGTTCTAATTGACTCACCCTGTATACGTATACATATATTCGAGGGATTCGTCTCTAGTTGCGCTGGCACGATTATCGCTGTCACGCTCCGATTGTTCGTCGCCGCGTCGTCGTCGAGTTTACTCGTAGAAAGTCCCGTGGAACTTTTGCGCCGTCTTCCGTTTTCCACGAAACGGCATCCACGGTAGTCGTGTGCTGACTCTGTTCGCGAGAAAAAGCACCGCGATAAGACTTCCCGAGAAATAGATCCATCATCCTCTCCCTGCTCCGGTCGCAATGGAAAGAAAAGTTTCTTGACGAATAAGAGCAGGAAACACAGCAACGATCCTCAAGCTACCTGTCCACTCGGAGACAAGCTCTAGTTTCACGAAGTGTATACGCATACTAAGGATCGATTAATTCTGAGTCTAAATACGCACATGCGGCACTGACGTGGCAATTAACGCCGGTTAAAGTTGCATTTTCATAATACGATGTTACGCAACCAGTCCAAACAGCACTCGTAATGGTGTGTCTACACTTGTGATCGAGAAGTTGGGGTGTCTTAAGCGATGAATAGAGTATTGCCGAGCCACTGTGATCAATCTAGTTCTTGTTTCATGAAATAGGTGACGTTCGTAAAATTGTGTAATCGATATGTCCGTCTTCGACAAGTTCGATCGGTTCCAAACCTGGAGACCAAATGGAATCAAACGATCGAATGATTAAGCTTATTAGTGCCCTCTCCAATTTGGTGTTATACATTCGAGTTAGAGACAATTTCCTTGCAGTTTTCTCAAGTATAACAAAATAAAAGAAAACTAAATTACGTTAAAAGACAGTGAATTGCACCTGAAATCGGTCGATTTCCTAATCGACACGCGAACGACTAAAAGAGCATCCATATACATAATTGTAGGCATTTTGGACCATTAAAAAGGAACATTTCTTGATCCGTTTTGCTATTTTTCGTTCTGTTCAGACATGGACGCCCTGAGGATGCTGGAGCTAGTGATACCCCAGCACGTGGTCCGCGGTCAGAACATACGATTAGAGTGTAACTTCAATCTGGACGGAGAGACCCTGTACTCGGTGAAGTGGTACAAAGACGGGAACGAGTTCTACCGATACGTGCCCCAGGACAGGCCGCCAGTGCTCGTCTTTCAGCTGCCTGGTGTCACGGCGAACGTAAGAATTACTTCCTATTGATTTTTTTTGCTCTTGCTCTACCTCCCCCCTGTGCCAATGCACTGACTCCCCCCCACCCATGGCTCGCTTTCTATTTAAAGCTTCTTCTCTTTTTACATTTGAGCTTCGATTCGAGGCACCCAACGAGAGACGAGAATTTCATTCGATCGTCATATTGAAAATTCCGTAAATTTTAAAGCTATCGTAACAGAAAACCCCCTGGTGGTCTAGTATACCCCTCCCCTGGGTTAGGTTAGGTTACGGAGAATACTCGTGTAACAGTTGTAAAAGTAGATGATTTTTGCGAATTTCTTTTTGAGACAATTATCGATAATATAAGAGTAAACGACATTGAAATATAAGAAGCTATTTTTTGAAATCTGGACAGTTTACGCTGGGATTGTGCGTATTTCGAAAGAGGAATATGAAAATTTAGAAAAGTTATAGCGTTTAGAAGAGAAATTTACTTTTTGTATTGTTTGAGAAAAATATAAATTAAAAATAAAATAAAAGTTAAAAGCACAGTCCCTGGAGGAACTTGTAACGAATTGAATGAGCTTTTGTAATTATTTCTTTATTTTTTGGAATTCGATTTTCGACTTTTGGAAGCATATTTTCGAAATGTTGCACCCTTGATTTATGTAAAAAAAAATTGTTTGGACCAGCTACACCAAAATTTTCTCTTAATGGTCACGGGTAAGGCCCCCTTTTCTTCTCCCTGATCGACAACGTTCCACGAATCCTACGTGGCTCGAATGGATTTCGTGGAACCACCACGTCTGCGGGGAGTTAATTGTCTCTGTTAATTGGCTAGGACACGTCTCTCACGGTTCTTGCTTTCAGATTCACAATTCCACCGAGAGGTCGGTCGTCCTCTATTCCGTGAACCTAATGAGCACCGGGCGATACAGATGCGAGGTGTCTGCCGAGGCTCCGTCGTTCCAGACGGTGTCCGATCACTCGGACATGCTGGTAGTCGGTAAGGACCCACGGAATGAAAATAGAATCCCTTTTTTCCGACTGTATTCGGGGAATGCGACAGTTTCTAACGAGTAACCTGGTGAAACTTTCAGCCCTGCCGGAAGACGGGCCCGTTATCACCGGAAGGCCTGGGAGGCATCGTTATCAAGTCGGTGACGTGGTGCGGTTCAATTGCACCTCGGCCAAGTCGAAACCGGCCGCTATGCTCAGTTGGTTCATCAACGGCGAACCTGTAAGTGACACTCGTTCGTGTGTTCAGTACACTGAGAATTTTTCTGAAACTTCGCAGATTTTCTATATCTACGATAGTTTTCGAGGTATACAGGAAAATAAGAAAGGACACATTAACATTTAAGGGCTGGTTTTACTCTGAAAAACCTAGCCACTTAGTGCTTTTCATGATTTCTTGTGTACATTTCGTAAAGCACCACGTATATCCCTATACATTGCATCACACCTTGTATAATCCAATAACATCAGTACTATTAACCCTGACCTTACTCTCTGTCAATAAGGTCATTGAACTTAACAGTGGTCTCAACCTAATAACAAATCAATCCTATTTTAGAACTTTGCCCTTTGTTAAGAAACCAGCGATCACCCTATCAATAGACGAGTAGTTGCTAACCTTGACAGTGGTCCTAACTCGGATACGGTCGCAGCCCTCCTCCCCTATTCTCCTCCTTAGTCAATTGCCAGACACGCGTTTTAAACCGGACCTCGGTTGGTTACTTTTTTTTTTTTTTTTTTTTTTTTTTTTTTTGGTTACGTCAGGTTGACACGCAATACTTGAGGGGGCCCCACATCACGGAGGTGGATCGCGAGGGTCTGGAGACGGCGGTCCTCGGGCTGGAGTTTCGTCTGCGTACGAAGCACTTCAAGAGGGGGGACTTGAAGATCAAATGTCTGGCGACGATAGCGACCGTGTATTGGAAATCGAACGAGCTCAGCATAGAGGGTGAAAGGCCCCTGAAGATGCCGGTGATGGAGAGCCGTGAGACGAGGGCGCAGGGGCACACGCACGCGGAACATATCTTGGGAGGTACAACACAAGAACAATAACAACAGTGATACCACCTTTCGCGAGTCTTATCCGTGAATATTGTATAGTGTACATATGTATTGTATACATACGTATATTTATATACTCTTTTCGAATATTTTTTAGGCAGTGGAAGTAGTATGTTGGCACCCTATCTCCTGACGATGGGGATCAGCTTGTTGGTTTTACAATAAGCAGAGGGAGATGCGGCATGGCCTCATCGTGCTCACCTTTATTCAGGCCTCCGGGTAGAGCTGTGCGAAGATCAGTGTGTACCGAATCGATCGTGTTATTTCTATTTTTTATAAACAAAACAGTTAGTGGAGTTAGCAGGACCCGAAAGTATATATATATATATATATATATACTTATGAAGATGTACACACGTTAGAGTGTTAGGCGGCGAGGTATTGCGTGAGAATACTCGGTCCACGAGTCTGTCAGCACCTATTGTCCTCTTTTTCCATTCAGTTTCTGACCGCTTAAGTAACTTAGAAGTCCCCTCAGGGAATGCAACGGTCACCTACAACGTCTGACGATGTTCTGTCATTTCCTAAAGACACGTCGACAGCTGCAGAAGCATGTATATGTTCACAGATTCGTGGGTCGATTCATCGAAAGAAAATAATAATTGAATCACAGTTATTTAAAAGAATGTTTTTATTCGGTCGTTGATACGATTCAGTGGACAGAGGTTCAATAACAACGGAAATTTTGTAGAACCATCAAGTCATTGGTGTGTACCGCCATTCTCACAGGCGTATCGGAAAAGAAGCCGAACTTTCGCTCCGCGTATACATTTTCTTTCCCCTCTCTCCTTTTGTCTCTTTTACAATAGCGTGAACAAGAGTCCTCGTGTGGGTGTGTATAAGTATGAACGATTAATAATCATTGCGCGATGGCTGGTGGGACGACCGCGACAAAGAATGAATGCCCAATACGTATTTATAATCTTAATTGTACACGAGTGTTTCTATCGTCCAATCGCCAGAGAACAAAAAAAAAAAACGGGACTCTGCGCCAAAGAATGTTCTCCTTACGTCGTAGCTTTTATCAATCTAGTCGCTATTAATCGGCAGCAATGACACGTTATATCTCTTAGAATTACTTGTGAGCTGTGTGTGTGCACGCGCGAGAGTGTAGCGCGTATTTTACCAAAGAGGAGCATCATCCGCGCGCGCGCGCTATAACATTCCTAATTGTTAATTATCAGAGCGGGATAGAGAGAGTGGTGTTGTAGATGGTGTGCCCCACACTTTGTGTACGGTTTCGTATGGTGTAAGGACATAATTCTGTACATATGTACATAAATCGGAGGACAACCAACCTTTTATCTTTTAACTTAACGTTCTGATAATAAAGCGACGATCATCACGTCGGACAAACAACAGAACACAGACGAGCGTTGTTTTAACGGGGAACAGGTATCATAAGTTGGACGTGTTGAAGAGACACCGTTCGGCGAAGAATGCGTGTCTCTTCCGTTGCGGTTGGCACGACCTGGCAGGCGATCTAACGAAGAAGCTGGAGATCTTTTGCTCCCCTGGTGATATTCCGTCCTCCAAATCCTCCCATTCGACGGGCAGAGCTTGCGACTCTAAGATTTTCTCCGCAGTTGACCAGCTGAACCTAACCAGACGCGGGAAACCAAACACGGGATCCACGTTCTCGGAGAGCCACCTTTTTGTCTCCGGATCGTTTGGGTATCCGCTCCCATATTCCGCCTTGATGTCACCCTCGCAAAACTGCCAGGCCCGTATCGCATGATCACGTGACACTTTAGCGCAAATACTGGCCGCACTGACAATAGGGTACGTCGAATCAGCCTTCTTCGCGACGACTATCTTCAGACCGGGAAATATCTGCTCCAGTCTCGCTTGGTACTTCTCCGGTTTACCAACCGTGTCCACGTAGATCTCCGTGATCCGTGCGCCAGCCTCGATCACACGTTGGGCCAGCTCGATCGCAGAGACCATGGATACCTCGTTCAGAGACGTTTTGCTACGACGATACATACTGTTAGCTATAATATTAGGGGATATTACATCCACAGCCCAACCCATGGTGTCTCTGTGCTTGCAAATCCCATCGAAGATTATGTCTCTCTTCTCTTCGGTCAAGCTCTTGGAATCTGCACAGCCCAGATCTACAAGAAGCTGCTTTTCAGAGAGAGGCGCATAAGAGATTCCATAAACCATGGGTCCAAGAACTGGCCCACGTCCAGCTTCGTCTATACCCAGCTGGCACGGCTCGTCTTTACATATTTGTGGTATCTAAAAAGAATTGATAACAGAGTTTAAAAGCGAATTGCCTTGATTTTTTCAATGATTAATAGACAACCAACTGAATGATTTATGGTTTAATCGCTATTGAAGCTTTTAAATATAAGCCATATGCCCTTTTGAAAAGTTTGTTACAACATTCTGCCAGCATTGCGGTTGGCTTCCACACAAATGGATATGATAGTTCATACGGTCGAATCTATTTAAACTGAACAGTAAAAAAGTATACAAGCCTCAACAGTGACAACAATATAATGCCAGGCCGTGAAAATGTAAAATCTCTGAAACGATTACGTTCAACGTTACGTTAGGGGCCAATGAACTCGTTTCACGCTATCAGATTCCAAGGAGATAGCAATTGAAATCAACGAGTAAGTAAGACAACAGCAGTTCCAGCCTAGAGTTAAAACGGTCATTCACTTTCTGTATCCTGCAGTTACCTCCGACAAATAAACTTTGTTGATGCTATGATCCCAGGCTTGAAAGTATGGGGTTAGGTCACCCCTGCAGGTAATTCGAGTATCTTCTGTCGCATCGTTTTCCCCATTTTCCTTGGATTTCATCTCTTTAACGCCATCCGTGTTGTTCTTTTCGTTTTCCATAATATTAGTGTTTTATCTCCCACGCAAAACCCGTGTAAGCTAACCTCGAAGGAAACGTCAACGTTTGGACGAACCGCCAAAAAACGAAGCTGTTTATCGATAGGTCGTACAGAAACGACACGACGAGTTCTCTTTAAAGCTGAAGATCTTTTTCACAATAATTAATATCATTCATGGAATTAAAAGTAAAGTAGACTAGAGATATTGCAAGAATCGAACAAAAATATCATTATTCACTTAAACGATCACCGTTTTATCGGTGACAGCAAAGTATTTTCTTTATATGCAAATGCTTAAACCTTTCAAACTTACATATATGGCTTTTGTTTACAGAAAATTTCCTTCGTTATTTAGACCTATTAATATATACGTATATAACATTGTCAAAGTAAAACAAATATTTTTATATACTTAATTGAACTTCATTTTAAAAAGCAGGTCGTAAATTTATATTACGACCGAATAAATTATTACGTTCGTTTCATTTGAATAGAAATTTCAGGTGTTAGCCTAATTTTACACCTATTTTCCTGAACCAGGAAAACCAACAGTAATATAATTATTGTTATTTCAAAGCCGACTGAAAATGTTCATAGATAGTTTCTCGTTTAATCTTTGAGAAAAGAAAAAAGATAAGTCGCCTGAATGGCGCGACCTATCGATGGAGCAAGGTCTGGCTGAACATATCGACATTATCGACTCGTGTCTCGTGTCTCCTCGCGCGTCCAAACCCCATCGACTACGTGTTGTATACGTGTGTTTGTGTGCGCGCATGTGTGTTCGCTCGCGTGTCCCTCGGTAGAAATACTTGATGACGCCGTGCTGTGTAGAGATATTGTCGCGAAATATAACATAACCTCCAAATACAATGCTCGGACTGTTATCTGTACCGTTTAAGGGTCCGTTCTCGCGAGGAATTTGATTTTCACGTTCTTGAGACCGATTATCACGCGTGCCCGCCAGCTCGTCGCAACATGAAAGTTATCGTGAAGAAGCTCCAGGGAAAAGAATGCGTTGTTGACGTGAGTACCCAACGCGCACCTTGCCTCGTTTTTTTCTGCCCTCTGAATTAATTTACTTGCTTACTAACATTCCCGGTTACGCGAATGATTTCATCTCGTTCCCGTAAAACGTTGACAAAATGTTGCACCGAATTTATCCTCCATCCACGCGATACCCAAACTTCTCTAAGCGGTTATTTTTCTCGAACTGTTATTTCTTTTTTTGTTTTCGTTTCGTTTACACCTATCACAGCACGCTTCATGATAACCCGCAATTATTCTCGTGTATTTTCACCATTTTTACCAGATTATGCCCTCGGATACAGTCCTACAGCTGAAGCACAAAGTCAGCAGCCTCCTGGGCATAGATGTTCCACAACAGAAACTGTTGCTCACAGGCAAAGCACTAGCTGGTAATATTCCTGGGATCAATTGTAGAGAACAATGAACATTATTAACAAGGAAAGGACTGTAATAGGTTCTTACTGGTCTTGAAAGCTTTAACACGGTCAATCTGTGTCGAAAATGAGAAGAAAACGTTAAAGGTTCTTTCAAGATCTGTGACTACCTATATAGCAGCATTGTTCTCCCCATTGGCAAGCAATGGGAATGTCAAATGTTTAATTGGATCAAGCACATAGTTGCGTAGGAAGAAAATATTGTAACTCAAAAATCGTTTTTCAGATGAAAATCCTCTGAGCTTTTATCCGGGCATCAAGGATGGCAGTAAATTAAATTTGTTGGTGATTAAGAAAGCCGAGGAAGGCTCTAGCGAAGGAAAAGCACCACATCGCAGGTCGGGCACGTATCTCCTACGCGATGAGGTCTCTAGAGTTCTAAGGCATTATTACACAGAATCAGAGACAGAATCGATAGTCAATGAGTTGATAAAAGACCTAAAGAATAAAGTAAATAATCTTAGTTATGACGACTTAGAACGATTAGCAACAGCACTGCTCCAGGACCAAGAGAACATAGCTTAAGGATACTTGGATTTTCCAATCTCGCTTATTATTTGATTATCGTAATACACTTTTATTTAATTGAAACGTTGCTTCATTACACCCCCGTGAAACCAGTACAGTACATGTTAAACCGACGCAAGAGGAAGGTGCGCAAGACTAACAACACTAAATGTACGAAACGATTGATTTTATTGAAACAGACGAGTATAATTGTAATAGCACTTTAGGAAATAGGCTTTTACGGGTCAGCCATGTCCAGCTGACGAAAATACCTTGCAACTAGGCATATAAATAAATTCAGTGCCCCTATTTCATGTACTTCCAAGTTTTTCTAGAAAAAAAAAAGAAAGAAAAGAAGGAAATAAATACACAAAGCTGATGTATAGCTCAAGGGTATGTTAGGAGTTTGACAAACCATTTTTGTACCTTCTTTTAATATCAATTGTAGATTCAATTATTTTTCAGTTAGACTATTTCCCTAAATTATGTCAACGGCAAACTTAATATACAACTATGCAATAAAATTGATTTGTTAAAAAATACTAAGCCTGATTCACTGAACTTCCATTACCGAATTTGCGCGGATGATCGAGCATGTCCTAGCCGCGCTACGCAAACAAGAACACATATTTGGTGTTAGAGGCATTTCCAAAACAACTAGTAGTGCATACAGCCATTGCCCCACTTCGTAGTCCAATTTCTTCTGGGTCCCTATGTACTCCACCAAGTACTCCAGAATTTGCTCCACCATTGGTTGATTCAGACAAAGTACAGTGTTCAAAGAAGGAACATTTTTCTGGCCCTCATTATGACCAGAACAAAATTGTATCCAACCCTTTCCATCCTCTATAGTTGGCTGCAAGATTAACTGATTAATATGGAATAATATCCGACCATCTATTGATCCATAGAGTATATTCGTATGTACCAAGTTAGTTTGAGGAGGTTTCCATTGACGCTTTGCTGTCTGAATTTCGTTCTTCATTTGACTTATGTGTAATCTTATGTTGGAGAAATCTAATACTTGACACTGCTGCCAGTCTAGCATTGGGCCAAGACATGGAGGGGCTTCCACACATCCTGATAACTTGGTGTGTTCACAATATTATCATATAGGAAGCTCCTACAATGTTTGGTCAAACTTTACCGCTGTACTCTGCTAACAGTACTGAAGTAAAGGTGTCATTGTTATGCCATTTCTTCATCTGTACTGTTATCAGAATATGATAGCAAAGTAACACCAGACATTCTAGGAATGCAATGTATGTGTTACATAAAAGCATAGTTTTAAGATAGCGTCTATATACTTACAGGTTCGACATCAATCGTTGGTTGCCCAAAATGTCTAGAGTCAATGTCTGCCACCACAATATCCGAGCATCGTTGTGCTTCTATTCTGTGATACAAGTAAATGCAATCAACTACTAGACCAATAACAGAAGGATCAATCTATTTACTTACATTACTCTTTTGATATACTCCTCCCCTGAGGCTGGTGGCAAGGAGAAATTAATTTCATTGTCAATTTCTCCAACAACAAACGCCGGCTCTCGCAAACAATCCGTCATTTTCGTTTATTTGTGATTTGAATAGGTAAATATAACCTCAAGCTACAAACAATACCAGGAGTGTATATAAAATGGACTATAGTATTAACACAGTGATAGGCAACCGGGCCTGCTCGGGCAAGTGGCGGGCAGCCGCGGGCTCCTATTAACGTGAAGTGAATTCGCTCCCGTCGAAGAGTAGGTACGTGATCTTTACTTTTCACATGTAATCATTTAAACTATTTTATACTATACGAATTATTAGTGTCTCCGTTACGTCTTTATGACCCCAGTTCCTCGCGCGCACGGGGTCACCGGCGCATGCCCCAGGGGTTCTATGACCCCACATCTCGTGCACCCTGGGTCTCTGGCGCAGGCGTCAGGGGTTCTATGACCCCGCTGTGAAGGGAACGCAGGGTCTCTGGCGCATGCTCTAGGGATTCTATGACCCCAATTTCTCGGTCCCACGGTGTCTCTTGTACATGATCCGGGGGTTCTGTGACCCCACCACGCGTCACACGAGGGCTCTGGCGCATGCGCCGGGGATTACTAGTCAAACAGCCTGCGGCCCTAAGGCTTAGGCTAAGGGTCAGTTGTCTCGAACAAGTTGAAGTGATAAGACGTGAAGTGAACTCGCTCCTATCGAAGTGTACGTGTTCTTTACTTTTCACATCTAATCATTTGTACCAATTATCAGTGCCTTCGTTAACTCTCTGTCGTTACTTTCGTTTAGTATTTACTCCTTTTAGAGTAAATTATCGTAAATTAATTCGAGATTACGGGACAAAGTGATCGGTTTTCGCGACTTTCTTTATCCAAGATCGTACTATTTACGCATTATTGATTCCATCTACAATCTTTTACGGCACATTTCGAGCTAATCGCAGGTATACGTAAAAAAAAGGTCGTACGGAAGTGTAATATTATGCTGAAGGGTCAGTCGTCTCGAACAAGTTTAAGTGATAAGACGTGAAGTGAACTCGCTCCTATCGAAGTGTACGTGTACTTTACTTTTCACATCTATTCATTTGTATCAATTATTAGTGCCTTTGTTACTTCGTTATCGTTACTTTCGTTTAATATTTATTAAATTTCGACTAAATTATCATAAATCAATTCGATATTACGGGACAAAGTGATCGATCTTCGCGACTTCCTTTATCCAACCTCTTACTATTTACGCATTTCTGATTCCATTTAAAATCTTTTACGGTACACTTCGAGTACAATAGTCATTTGCTGGTAACGAAACCTTTGTTACTTTAATGTAATTGTTTGGAGTAAACGCGTTTATTTTCTGCTTCAGAGTACCGGCTGGAAAGGACGTGTCATTGACGTCATGGAGTAACAACACTTCGGAAAATTGGCGAAGCATGGTAATTTGTTGTAACAAAATTAATGTAACTCGTTGTATTTTATATATTTATTACATTACTTGTAACATTTGTTTACAAAATGACTAATAAATGTATTTTAATATTATTATCAGTATAATTTCATTTAATCCTCCTAAAATGTAAGAATTACCTAATTACTAATATATTAATAATGTATAATAATACAGTATGTAGTAACGCCCTACCCGTAGTAACGTTTTAACACCCTCCCCAGACTGAGCATATTTTTCTCATCACTAATTAGAGCCCCAATTCTTTCATCACTGGTTTGAGCGCCCGAAATTTGTTATCACTAGTTTGAGACCCCTGAAATTCGTGTTTTTTGGCGCTCAAACTAGCGATAACAAGTTTCGGCCGCTCAAACTAGTGATAACAAATTTTATCGCTAGTTTGAGCACCCGAAAATTGCTATCGCTAGTTTTAGACCCCTGAAATTCGTGTTTTCGGGTGCTCAAACTAGTGATAACAAATTTCGGGCGCTCATAGTAGCGATAAAATTTGTTATCACTAGTTTGAGCACCCGAAATTCGTTATCACTAGTTTGAAACCCTGAAAATCGTGCTTTTCGGGTGCTCAAACTAGTGATAACAAATTTCGGGCGCTCATAGTAGCGATAAAATTTATTATCACTAGTTTGAGCACCCGAAACTTGTTATCACTAGTTTGAGCACCCGAAATTCGTTATCACTAGTTTGAGCACCCGAAAAGCACGATTTTCGGGTGCTCAAACTAGTGATAACAAATTTCGGGTGCTCAAACTAGTGATAACAATTTTCGGGTGCTCAAACTAGTGATAACAAATTTTATCGCTACTATGAGCGCCCGAAATTTGTTATCGCTAGTTTGAGCACCCGAAAAGCACGATTTTCGGGTGCTCAAACTAGTGATAACGAATTACGGGTGCTCAAACTAGCGATAACAAATTTCGGGCGCTCATAGTAGCGATAAAATTTGTTATCACTAGTTTGAGCACCCGAAAAGCACGATTTTCGGGGGTTTCAAACTAGTGATAACGAATTTCGGGTGCTCAAACTAGTGATAACAAGTTTCGGGTGCTCAAACTAGTGATAACAAATTTCGGGCGCTCAAACTAGTGATGAAAGAATTGGGGCTCTAATTAGCGATGAAAAAAATATGCTCAAAGTCTGGGGAGGGTGTTAAAACGTTACTACGGGTAGGGCGTTACTACATACTGTATTATTATACGTTATTAATATATTAGTAATGAGGTAATTCTTACATTTTAGGAGGATTAAATGAAATTATACTGATAATAATATTAAAATACATTTATTAGTCATTTTGTAAACAAATGCTACAAGTAATGTAGACTTATGTAATAAATATATAAAATACAACGAGTTACATTAATTTTGTTACAACAAATTACCATGCTTCGCCAATTTTCCGACGTGTTGTTACTCCATGACGTCAATGACACGTCCTTTCCAGCCGGTACTCTGGAGCAGAAAATAAACGCGTTTACTCCAAACAATTACATTAAAGTAACAAAGATTTCGTTACCAGCAAATGGCTATTGTACTCGAAGTGTACCGTAAAAGATTTTAAATGGAATCAGAAATGCGTAAATAGTACGAGGTTGGATAAAGGAAGTCGCGAAGATCGATCACTTTGTCCCGTAATATCGAATTAATTTATGATAATTTACTCGAAATTTAATAAATATTAAACGAAAGTAACGATAAAGAGGTAACAAAGGCACTAATAATTGATACAAATGAATAGATGTGAAAAGTAAAGAACACGTACACTTCGATAGGAGCGAGTTCACTTCACGTCTTATCACTTCAACTTGTTCGAGACGACTGACCCTTCAGCACAATATTACACTTCCGTACGACCTTTTTTTTACGTATACCTGAGGTTAGCTCGAAATGTGCCGTAAAAGATTGTAAATGGTATCAATAATGTGTAAATAGTACGAGGTTGGATAAAGGAAGTCGCGAAAACCGATCACTTTGTCCCGTAATATCGAATTAATTTATGATAATGTACTCTAAAATGGGTAAATATTAAACGAAAGTAACGACAGAGAGTTAACGAAGGCACTAATAACTGGTACAAATGATTAGATGTAAAAAGTAAAAAACACGTACACTTCGATAGGAGCGAGTTCACTTCACGTCTTATCACTTCAACTTGTTCGAGACAACTGACCCTTAGCCTAAGCCTTAGGGCCTCAGGCTGTTTGACTAGTAATCCCCGGCGCATGCGCCAGAGCCTTCGTGTGTCGCGTGGTGGGGTAACAGAACCCCCTGAGTTTATACAGGAGACACCGAGGGACCGAGAAAACGGGGTCATAGAACCCCTGGCGCATGCGCCAGAGACCCTGCGTTCCCTTGACAGTGGGGCCATAGAACCCCGGCGTATGCTCAAGAGGCGCCGTGGTCTCCTTGAAACTGGGGTCATAGAACCCCTCGCGCTTGCGCAAGAGACCCCGTCTGGTGAGACAGTATTATTGTCGATCGTACGCTCTGTACATATTTGTTTATTGTTAAATTACAAACATTTTTGTAATGTTAATAAATTAATGAACAATTTGACGATTGTCCGATTTATAAAACAGTGACGTGAAAGTGCAAGTATGTTGCAGTGTACATTAATAATTATTTCTGTTCAGGTTAAATTCCTTCGGACATGGCGTGAGAATGCCGCCGGAACTCCAGACGAATTGAAATCTAAATACTGAATTAATTTATTGTCAATTGTCTATTGTGTTACGGAACAAAGTTATCATCTAACGTCGTCTATTGCAACAGTAAGTTTGCCAAATTACACTGTAATTAGTATTATTTTCTTAAACGAGAGCAATGAAGTTTAAGGTTAAGCGTATCAGTTGCAGAGAAGGTCGTATGTACAAGCATGGTGAATTCGACGGACGTTAAAAAGGCATCGAATAAGACGTAAGAAACATGTTATGTTACGATGGAAAGCTCAGCCTATTTTGTTTCACTGTGGCCAGTTTGATTGCGATTCTGCCAGAGGTTCTACTGAGATTAGAATTTGATGTTCCTCAGGCATACTTCAATAATATTTGGATCACCCATTTGTTTCAATATGGATTTTTGAATTTCTTCCTACTTCTTGCATTTCGTGGCTTCTCTTACAAGGTATTATGGATAATTATAAGGTTGCAAAGTATAAATACAGTAGTGCATGTGTTACATTAAACTTGTATTTGCTTCAGGTTGCAGTCAGAGCAGTATTTCTTGGGTATGCTTTTGGATGTGGAATATTATTGTCTGCAATTGCCGTACCTTCATGGCAAACGTTTGGCATATATATCACCATGTTGGCTATATTTCATTATTCAGAGTTCCTGAGCATAGCATGGATAAATCCATCCACTCTATCCATAGACAGTTTCATTTTGAATCATAGTATAGCTTATGGAATGGCAGCTTGTTCTAGTTGGGTAGAGTTTACTGTGGAGAGACAGTATTTTCCAGGGATGAAAGAGTTGTCTTTTGTATCATATTTTGGACTGATATTGTGCATTTGCGGTGAAGTGTTACGGAAACTAGCAATGTTCACAGCTAAGCATAATTTCAATCACATTGTACAAAGCGAAAAGATGGACAACCATGAACTCGTTACTTATGGAGTCTACAAGCTTTGTAGGCATCCAAGTTATGTGGGCTGGTTTTACTGGTCCATAGGGACGCAGGTAATATTGTTTAATTAGCAGAAGATCATTGTTTACATTATATGTAATCATTTGGGATAACAGAAAAGCACAATAGATGACGTAATTGCTATACTTTGATTTGCAGCTGATACTTCAGAATCCATTTTGCCTACTGGCATACGCAGCGGCCTCTTGGAGGTTTTTCCATGATCGCATTTTAATCGAAGAAATCACTCTGCTCAATTTCTTTGGACAAGACTACGTAGAGTACCAGAAACGTGTTGGTACAGGACTGCCTTTCATACCTGGCTACAAATTGAATTTATAGCAGCCAGTCTCCGTTTAAACGTCTCCATGTATAAGTAATTAATTGCTAGGAAACAGCTCCATAATTAAGAATTATAGCGTAACCAATAAAGCAGTGATCTTAACAAAATTATATTTATTGTCTCATTTCTTTTTGAAGAATTATTCATATAACAATAGACTAAACTTTCATGTTATGGTAGAGATACTTTCAATTGATGGTTATACGCTATTGTTTCTTTTATACTTATATGTATATACGAAACGTATGTTGATAATAGATACGTGCTGCATTATGCCATAATGCTGCGGCTAACACTTGTGCCGACATTCAGAAAGCATTCATTCGGTGTTGGATAATTAGAAGGTGCTAGAGTCGGAGTAACGTACTTACACAGCTTCATCGTAGCAAATATTTTGTACACGGTCATTTACAATGTACCAAGAAAGCTTTGATACATTTTGGAAAAGTGCTACGCAGTCGTTAACTGTTAACGTTGCCTCGCCGTGACTTGCGGGAACGTTTCGCGACCCGATTTGTATATCTATGGAATCAATTGAAAGACGCGAAAACCCACAGAAGTTGGCATACAGGGTGATCACTTTAACTGGTTATTGCCTTTTATGTGGCTCCATTCAATGCGAATAAACTGTTGCCAGTAACGTTTTCTTCCTGATTTTTCGAAAGCATCAGAGTGAACAGCCTATAGTTTCTGAATATTATCGGCTACGAAAGATGAGGGCTATGCAAGTTCCTTGTTCATGATAAAAATCTAGAAAATTCTGCACTTGTAATTGACAATGAATCATGTTATAGCAGACACGTTATCAGAAAGTATTTCTTTTTTTTTTGTATGAATTGTGTCGCAACTAAAGTACAATGTATCGTTGTAACGTTTCGCAGCCAACAAATGATATTTGAAATACACTATTTAGACTATCCACTGCCTATTATTCCCATCTTCTAAACCTACATAAAACAGTATATGAAACAGCAGTCACATCGAATTGTAAGAAACGCCAATGATTGCGTGACTAATATCAATTATGTACATACTTTCGTCGCGGTGTATGTGTACCCGGTAGAAATCACATTATAACTAGCAACACATCTTACTAGCACCGACCTTAACTATACAAATACTTCGTAAGTAACTTTCTTTCGATATCACATAAACGGAGTTCCAAGTGTTCCAACAAAAGGGCCTGCGCATCGAGACAGCACTTCGTTGAAATTAAATTGTATTTGCCTACCGATTAGTAAAATCAATTATTTAAAACAGTATATTCGATAAATGCTGGATCTTTCTTGTATTAATGTAGTAGTAGCCTATTGTTGGTCCGGGTGAATGCCAAAAACAAATTTCTTGATAGGCAAACATCAAACATCTTGTAGATAATAATTGTGTTTTATCGAATATTCCTTGTCGTATCAATGTTTCGTTAAAGATTTTCTTTCACTTTGATTCATTAGACAATTGCTTGTGGAGCATAATTACTATAATCGTAAACAGAGCAATTACCTCCTCTGATAAGTGACAGATTAGACACAGTTCTATCGGGGGACCTAGGAAATCAGTAATGGCAGTGAAAACTTATTACGTGAATCGATATAACATTATTGTATTCATTTACGATCACCACGGTATTTTAAGTTGGCAGTCGAATATGAAAAGCAAAGTGTCGTTAACGAGAAAAGGAACGAATCACAGGATCGGGCAGTTACGTTCGCGAACAGAATCTAACTTTGCAAAGAAAATTAACTAGGTATTCCCTTTCATACTTTGTAAAAACTAAGCTGTACAAAACATGTCGTAGTCAGTTCAATTATAAAAAGGTTAACATTACTGTGTTGCCCGAGACACATATCGTGATATATCTACAGATACAAAACTGTGTTTACATATCGTCCCTTTTTAATATTTTGTACTCCTCACCGTAACGTAAAGACAAGAAGCGTTTTCGTTCAGATTAACGAAACGTTCCAAGATCACCGCGTGTTGGAAGTCTGTCGTCTGGATCGCTGTAAAACAAAAAATTAAACGAGTCTTACTTAAAGCTACTACGCGCCCGACTCGTCTTCATGTGAAGAGATATAGCGTGGTACAGGGGTTCACGGAATATGAATCCTAATACACAGGACTTCTGGAGGACCACGTACCATGGGATATGTGCCTTGTCTTGGACATCGATGAAGCATATTAAATAATTTACAAATTCAATAATTACAAGAACCCTCCCCCCCCCCATCCCTCACTAACGTGACAATGTTTACGTTCTTCGTTGCCCTTCGACAAGAAACACTTAACTCAACACGCACTTCATTGCATTAATCGTGTCTATGCATAATATTGTAAAAAGCACGCTCTGCTCTCGAACGTCCATGGTGAAGGCAAGCAGGTTTTGAAGTAGGATCAACAGTGAGTAGTGTTTAATATTGTAAGCGGCCAGATTCGCCGCTGGCTTCGGATGGATAATGTTCACAGGAGGAGGAGGAACGAACGCGTCGAAAATGTCCATGTCCTGGTCCGTGGACACCAAGGAAGACGGGATCCATCTTGCTCTATGTGTAGCAGCATGAAAATATCATAGGGTTTCATATATGATGAATTAAATACATTATTTTCTTTTTTCTGATTCCACAATGAACGGAGAGAGAGATTCACCTGGTACACGGCGAGACGTTTTTCCCACGAATGGCCTTTTCACCGATATCAATGGCCCGGGAGTCTTGCACCTCCATAGTGTATATGCATCCTGAGAAGCCTTCCTGATACTTTCCGTAAGTCATAGCATAATCAGGTACCCCGCCTATGTAGACGCTGCCTCTGGTGTTCAGGTCCTGTTGTATACCGGAACTAGTGCCGCTCTCCATGTGCTCGCCGTTCAGTTCGATGCTACCGTCGCTACCCTGGCGTTTCAGAATAATTCGGTGCCTCTCGCCGTCGTCGACCTTCTGAGCGGTCACACGGATCACTACTGGCCCCATGCCCAAATTGTACTGGTACTCCACGTAGCTGTGGAACAGCGTGGTATCAGTGACGCATTTCTCGGAAGTAGGCTATTATAGTAATTACCCGTCGACCACTGCGAGGGCCATATAATGATCAGGGTTCAGATCGTTCGGTGTCTGGCCGTGCCACATGATCAGACCCTTGGACTTATTGGTCGATATCTCGAAACACAGGACCTCACACTCCTCATCGTGGGTCATCACAGATCTGTTCAGTTCCAGCCATCCGTCTCCCTTGAACGCTACATCGTATGCTATTTCCGCGGCTGCGAATCAATAGGAAATTGTCAAATCAAATTGGTTTGATTCCAAATCCAGATGCATGTTCATCTTACATTTTTCACAGTCCCGTCCATTGTATCCCAGTCGACAATCGCACTTGTAAGACCCATGAAGATCGGTGCATGATCCACCGTACATGCAAGGTACAAGTACCTCGCACTGCTTCAGGATATTCTCGCAATTCCTGCCCACGTAACCGTACTTGCAGGTACAGGAGTAGTCGTAGGAGTCTGCACTCTGACATATACCATGGATACAGGGATTCGAGGCGCAAGGATCGTATGGTGTTGTTGTGGACGTTGTGGTCGTTGTGGTGGTGGTTAAAACGGTTAGCTTGGTCTGATTAGGATGCAGAACGTTGCAGTCGTCGATGTTTGCGGTGTCTATGGCTGACTTTAGTATGTCCACGTTTGTGGTGGATACTCCGAGCTGCAGGTGTAATTGGGACACCATTAGATTCTGGTTAACCTAATGTTAAGCTAAGTCCATAAGGGACTTACGTCACTGACGCAACCGCGAAACGAACGGTTCACACCAACATTTCTGTTCAATGTGATCCTCCTACGATCCACACCGCCAATGTACAGTGGTGTGTTGAGAGTCATTGTACGAGCTGATCCTGGAGACCTTCCTTCGACTATTGGCTCATCGTTCACGGTCAAGTTGCCGCCTCTAAAGTCCCTGTTCACTGAGACGTGAGTCCAGACACCGGGCTTAACGACGTGATTGGATCTGATCACCGCCAGACCGGAACCTATATCGTACCGGAACTCGATGTGTCGATCCTTGACGACTATCGCCACAAAGTCACCGAGACCTTCGTCACTTTGGGCACAGTAGATCAGGATACTGTCTCTGTCGTCCAGGGGATTGAAGTTCAACGCCATTTTCAACCTGAAAGAAGATTGTAGAGTTAACGTAGCTGTTCGATTTTCAAATAATAGATCGTGCGAGCTAGAGGGGAACCCTATTCCTGTTAGTGGACAGAAGAAATGTTAGAGTTAAAGTAAGAAACATAAAGTGGTAACATTTTTGTACTTTGGAACTCACCTGGGCTGTGATTCAGTAGTATTTCAATAGGTACACATAGATATCGAATGTTTCGTATGTTCAATAGAGCGCGGAATCCTGTTAAAACAATTTTTATTTTGCATCTCAAAACATATATTTATACTTATAGCGTTGCTTGAAGCCTATCGAATATATTAGATGTTATTCCAGACCTGAAACACACCTCCTCGGCACGTTTACATAGGTTCTTACAGGTAAGTACAAACATTTCGTATGTGCCAGTTGTGTGTGTGTGTGTGTGTGTGTGTGTATGTATATATGTGTATATGTGTTTTATGAGAGTCATGCTTAATGCCGCGACTTCGACAGAATCGTCCTAAGGTTTCAGGCTACTGTTAAATGCAACTCATTTGGCAATGACCTAATTTAATGCCTTATTTTTAATAATAATTAACACGACTAACAGAAAATGCGTTAAATGTATTCGAGAAGCTGTACAAAGAACCCCGTTGCGGTCTTCGAAACGTTCAAGTACAAAAGCTTTTCCTACAGAAGCTATATTAAAGAAGAATCATAAGTTCCCCTAGGCATTTAATTAATAATTCGTTTCAAACCACGTACGAGGCAGAAACGAAAAAGATCTAATATGTAAATAAAATTCTCATAAAAAAAAATATATATAATATAATGCTGACTGACAACTATAAATAGCAATTACGTAAATTGATTTGTTCCTATAATTATTACACATCGATCAATCAACAGAAAAAAAAATAACTTTTCTTTCTATATATTTATGTGCACTGATTTGGTGAAAAAAAGGGGAACAGGGGGCTAATGTTTCGTGTGGTGCAGATTATCGTGGTGATGTGGCCTTGATCGTGGTTTTCTAACTTGTGCGGTGCGTGATCTTAATCGACTGTGTGTAGGGCTCATTCTTGTCCTGCAAAAAATTATACAGAATTAGGATCGGGGTCATCGTTCAAAAAAGACTGCACGGGTTAGTGTCTCGATTCAAAACTCGAGGATCCTCCTAGAAGGCTATGTGTGTTAATCGAATTAATGTCTTGCACTGTCATGTGATTTAACGAGAATCTTAAATGAACATAAAATTTTTGCATATTCATCTACAACAAAATAGAAAGGAGGAACCAAAAAAATTTCTAATCAACAATAACTAGGCTTGATCATGCAGATTTTCGAGCAGAAAAGCTCACCGTCTGAGGGCTTTAGGTGTATCGTGCGCGATGAAGGATCTATCATCGCGGAAGGCTGGATCGTATATCTTCAAAGAATTCTCGCATCGAGATCCTGTCTTTCCGTGAGGACAGTAACAGTCAAAGCCTCCTGTTTCCTTGTCTACACAATTCCCTTCTCCGCAAGCACCTGTCATAAATCCAATATTTCTTGACTCTGATTTCTAACCTCACAAAGCAGAGAGACTGGCAAACTTGTTATCACAAGCAACAATTATTTCATTTCACTGTGTATTATTCCAATAAAAATCGAATGTAAATCACAAGTCTATCGCAAAGTCAATGAACAATCTACCTGGATAGCACGATAGGCCAATGTAGTCACAATGTTTTCCACTGTAACCGGCCCGACACAGACAGGTGTATCCGCTTTTGGCAGCGGCCTCCTGGCAGACACCTCCGTTGTTGCAAGGATTCTCCGCGCATGTCTCACAGTTGGTGATACCAATGCTGTCAGTCAGGTTACCATTCAGATCGACCTCCTTGTCCCCGATAACCAATCTACTGACGCATCCAACGAATCCAGAGGTTATCTCTGCGTGTTTATTGATGGTATTGTACGCTGGCACACCGCCCACAAACATCAGTTCCTTGAGATCTAATCCCTGTTTCCTGCCGCCCGCGACACCACTATAAAGATCCTGCTCGTCGACTAACATGGTTCCCTCTTTCCTATTACGCTGGAGTTTAATCGTGTGCCATTCGCTCAAGGCCACAGGTTTATCCGCACGAATTAGGGCTGGTCCCGAGCCAAGGTCGAAACTGAAGCATAACATTTTATTGTGATGTTCGTGTAAGATAGGCCTGAGTAAACAATTCGTTCGTGGAGCCACACAACAATAACACCATCCCCCACCACTCGCTTCTGTTGTGTTGTCATCCTTGGGCACGAGGTGCGCGCACATACAACTATCCCCACTTCCTACACTTCCGAACCCCGAAGTCACACTAATCTAATCATGGCGACACACGTTTATATAATGACGACTATGTGTCAGAAGTGGGGCAGTACAGTATGCGCGCGCACCTCCTACCCGAAGATGACCATACACAACAGAACCGAGTGGCGGGGGTTGATGTTATTGTTATGTGGCTCCACACCCCCCAATTTATATATTTACGTTATTATGTATACATTTGCATTAAGTTGTTATGTATATATTTATTTACATAATGAATTACCTGAACTGTGGATAGCCGTTTACTAAAGACAGCATAATGAAGTCACCGTCCCCACGACTCGACTCGTCGTTGTACAGAATGATACCGTCATAACTTTCCGGTTTAAAGGACACCTCGATATTGAACCTCAGGTAGGAGTCCGGGAGAGGAGGCAGAGCTATGAAACTTTCTGGTGCTTGACTGAAATAAGGGACCACACCTGTCACCACCAACACAGTTGGTATCTCTATGCTCTCGTGGTCGTTATTCACTGTACAGATGTAAGTGCCTGCGTCTTCGGCCTTGACGTTGGTCAGGTTCAGTTTACTCTGTGAAAGGACACGGGCACGATTAAGGAGCTCTCGAACGCGTTCTCTGTGATAGTCTACCTCGAAAATTTTAGCGTCGCGTGCTGGAAGCCCTCCAAGCTTGCTCCAATGGAACTTAAGCGGTGGATCTAGGTTGGGTCTACAGTTCATCTCCACGTTGGACCCGTACGGTGCATACTTAGTCTCGATTGCTGGCGCATCGTTGTGTCCACCTGATAAAAAATACGCAAAATTCGGAATCCCTTCCTTTTATCTTTCAATTCTATCGTGTATACTCACGTTAAGTACAGGTTTATGGAAGCATGAATGAAAGGTGACATAATTTTAGTCTAGTCGAAATTACTATTAAGGGGAGAATGTATCTTGTGTATGAAATTTTACCGTGAACAACGAGGTTGAAATCTTGCTGGAAGATGCCTTCTGGTGTCTCTGCCGTACACCTGTAGACTCCACTGTCGTCCACAGTCACGCCGGTCATTCTTAAGACATTATCATATTCCAGAGCATTGCTCGGTAGGCTTGGATGATTGGGCCTGGACCAATGGTAACGAGGATTGTGGGCACCAGTGCAGGCACAACGGATGTCAATGGTGTCCCCAATGTTAACGGGATCTTGCGACACCTCTACGCTGACCATAGGCATGACTGTCGCTAAAATAAAAATATTTCCATTACCATGAGATCCAACAATTGTTTTATATACGCACAAACGAAGACCCATCTCCAGTGTATTGTGTGCTACAAGACTTTCAGAATCTATCTAAAACAGTACTGATATCCCTGAGTTGATAGGGGAACAAGGAGCAGTGTTTAAACACTGACAGAGGAGCTGATGGAACAAGTGACATCCCACATACACGGTGGTACAATCCAAGTATCCATTTACCCTGATACTAGATACAGACTGTTTTACTGATTCTTGCCATTGATAGCTGGGTGGTTCAGAGTCCAGGTGGCCAAGAACCATTAGAGCAATCTGTACGTAATCGGTGTTTCAGATAGGACATTTGAACAAAGACGAATGTCGATTAACATAGGAGAAAGCGTTAATCCCAAGTAAACGTCACAGGAATACATATATCTCAGAACGAACCGCTTCGTTGTTGAAGATAACGATGGTTCTGCGGGACGCTGTTGAAGTAGTCATGGTTATTGTTGAAGTTCGGAATACCGACGTAGCAACGGTAATCCGACAGAACGCATCCTTGTATGACGCATATGCACTTTCGGTACCCGCAGTGCGTTTGGTTCGCTCGCGTGCAATCCGGTCGCAAATTGACTACTGAATAACAACGCGACCGTTGTATAAATCTCTTTCGACTAAATATCTTCCGATTAATGATTACACGACCGGATGGTGAATTATGCTATGAACGTTATATATGTATATGTATTGTATATACATATGTATAGGGTAGTCCACAGATTCCGGAACCACACTCTAAACTCTAATTCTTTGAATATTCTTGACTCTTCGAACCGTTAATCTGGGAGAGTACAAGTTGCTGATGGAGGATGACGTGAATTTTGAAACTGAAAGAATGAGATAATCATACAACGCGAACTTACGGGATACGTTCAGATTTATGTAATCGCTGGAGACTCCATGGGCGGTTTGGATTTGACAGATGTATCTTCCATTGTCGTCTGGCCGGGCTCGCGGTAGTTCCAGGTAATCATCTTCTGTTCTGGCGTTAGAAGGCAGAGGTTGACCCTCTCTGCTCCAGTGTATGGTGGCCCGTTCTTTCACGGTACACTGTAGACGTACAGGCTGGCCGACATAAGCCACTACATCCCTCTGAGCTGCTCTGACACCTGTGTCCTCGTAGATGTGTTCTGAGGCGATGAGAAATTAAATGAAAAAATTTCCAAGATTCAAAATGCACTTGGAAATTACTGTGAAACCCACCGTTCACCAGAACCTCAGCTACAGCCTCAGCAGTTCCAGCGTCATTGGTAGCCTTGCAGACATACTTTCCAGCGTCCGAGTAAGTGATCCCGTGGAACTGTAAGATACCACGATTATGGGAAACACTATACGGTAGATTTCTACCTATGGCGGCCCATTCGATGGTCATCGGCTCGTCCCCTGTTGCGCTGCAGACGATAGAGGGATTCTCACCTGGTCCCACTGTCTGCCTGGGCGGATTTAAGTCGATTCTAGGTGGCGCTGAGAAGATACCGTTTAATTTTTCGAGTGTAAACAATCATTAGATATGTGTTCTGATTATACATAATTGCCAGTGATTATTCCCTTACACAATACTTCAAGATGAGACTTGGCTCTGAAGAGGACAGTCCCGGCCTGGTCCATGCCTAGGCATACATATTCACCAGCTGTGCTCTTGTCCACCGCAGGGATGGTCAGAACACCATTGTTAACAGTGCTGCCTGCTGGTAAGAGACGATGGTCGTTTCTCTTCCAGTCCAGGTAAATGTGGTTGCCACCAGGAGCGTACACTTGACAGCGCATCTCGACCTTACCGCCATTCGGTATCCTGAAGTAGTCTTCCGGTATCATTACGTCTCCTTTCTTATTGGGATCACCCTACAAACACTCCACAGATTCATGTCTGCTCAAATAAACGTGGTAACTTGGTTATTAAATGGGCCGTACATTGTGCTCAGGATGGGATGGTCGATCTTCGGTACAGGGCATGTCACCTCTGCAAGGTGGATAGACCTCATTGTCGTCCTCGATACGAATATGGACACGTTCTTCGACTCTTCCAGCAGCATTGACGGCGTGGCAGGTGTACGAGCCCTCGTCGTTAGTGGACACAGAAAATATTTCATACACAGCGCTCAAGGGAGTCTTCTCCGTCATATCTAGTGGTCGATTGCTGCCGTAGACAAGGTATGCGATTAGAGAAATATTCAAAGGAAGATTTGTCTATTGCGAGGAGGTGTTGTTATAGCAAGGTAAACTCATCCTCTGAACCAACCATACTTACTAAAATGCCATTCCATTCACATGTTTGGTCCATTCGACATTCGGCTGCGGGTTACCAGACGCGCTGCATACCAATCGCACTCTGTCGCCACGTTTCACATTCAGTATACCAGATCTGGGCGATATATTGATCACGGGCACAGACTGGACCTCTATGTACGCCACTGCTGAGGTGGAGCCAACAGAGTTCACCGCGGAACAGATATAAGTACCGCCATCGTTAAGAGTGATATTGGATAGCCTCAACACTCCACCAGGTAGCTGTTTAATATTATGTGGGAAGGGTGCGCCATCTCTACGAGACCAGTGCAACTCTGGCATCGGAGTTCCAGCTATTGCTCGACATTGTACGTCCGCTGATCCGCCCAGAGTCACCGTTTGTGTCTCCTTGGGGTACAATTCCAAAAGGGGCGGTTCACGAGCTGCTCGAGAAAAAGTAAACAGTCCCTTAATCAGTTTATTTCGCACGTAATCATATATTCTGATACGATTTTTACTTACGTTCAACTTCAATCATAGCACTGGCTTCGTGGACACCACTGGGTCCAGTTACTTTGCATACGTAGACACCTCGGTCGGAGATCTGCACGTTGACTATCCTCAACGTGTCGTCCACCTGTTGAACGTTCGGGCTCATTTGCTCCAGGTACTTGCTCCACCAGACCTGAACACCTGGTTCTCCACCGGTGAGGCATCGTATCTCGGCTACGCTACCTTGCGGTACCGTTTGCTTTTCTGGTTTCACCTTGACCGAGGGTGTTCTTCTGGGTTGCACGTTTATGTTGATGACGCTGCTCGTCTCAGTCCCTATATGACTTGTGGCTGTGCAGACATAGATGCCTGAATCGTACGGGTTTGGGTTCATGATCGTGAGCACACCATCTCGCTGGCTGGTCGAGGAGCGTAAGGGGAGGTTCCCTTCCCTGGACCAGGTGACGTTCGCGATTTGAGAGGGGGTGCAGGTTATTCTAATCACTTCGCCGGCAAATCCTGTCCATTCCGGCGGTGTGATAGTGGGCTGTATACCGGTTGGAGGTGGCTTGTTAGGATTGTCTGCAAATAAACAATTGATTTCTTTAGTACAAATCTACCAGGACACTGTAATCATCTTCCAAGTACCTCTGACGTAAAGAACGGCTGTTCTCTCGTCCACTCCAATGTTGTTCCTGGCGATGCACTTGTACTCAGCCGCGTCGTTCTTCGACGCAGCTCTCAATGTCCAGACTCCGTTTTGTGTGGTCACTTCAGGGTTCATGGAACCATGGACACGGATCCATTCGACGTGAGGTGGTGGGTTACCACTGGCTTCGCAACGGAACTCAGCTGGTTCTCCTTCTATCACTTGCAACGACGGTGGGACGATGATTGTTCTTGGGGCCACTGGGTTTACACCTTACCAGAGACATAACGAATAATCACTATTGGCTCACAGATGAAAAATCCACGTGTTTTTTTTCGAGTATACATATATGGTACCTGGGATTTCTAACAGACTTTGCGGAAAAGCTGCGTCCGCGCAAGGCAAGGGGAAACAGAATTGTGTGTAATACAGTTGTATGAGAATTTTAATGGGCAATGGATTATATTTTACCTCCGACAGTGAGAGTGACATTCTTGAAGGCAATGTGTACACCGTCGCTGACCTGGCAAACGTAAACGCCGCTGTCGGACACTTTAACGTCCCTGATGATCAACAAGCCACGACTGTCGTCCACGCTTCGTTCACGAGGCAATTCACCGCCCTCTTTCTCCCATCTGACATGTACGGGTCCCTGACAGAAAAAGAAAAATATATATATATATATGTGTAATGCAACGCTCTATATTCACAACTGCATGCATAACCTCAAATTGTGCCCACGTACATTGTCCAAAGCTCTTCCTGAACAATGGTATCTGACTGTGCTTCCGGTTTTAACGATTTGGAACTCTGGTCCCTTGATGTAGACTACGATCCTGGGTGGAGTGATAGTGGGACCAGATGGGCTGATCGTCGTTGAAGAATGCTCTGTAATAGCGCCGAGAAATATTTCAGCACAGATATTCACGTAACAGAATCGTAGCACATAAAAACATAAAATGGTAACAATGAAATTCTAGAAAAAAAAAAAAAACAAAAAAAAGAGGAAAACTAGTCATTTGTCCAAGATCCGAATTGACACGACACAACGATTAAGCTCCTGCACCCACACGAAAAATGGAAGCTCATATTAGGCGGGTGTGTCTGATGAGAACGCTGAGGCGTCGAGGACATGAATATGATAACCCACGGGACGCCATCGAGTATCCCCCAGCGACCGGACAAACACTAAATAGTCCTGTGTGGTCCGTCAAACCTGGTGTAACCGACGTCACAACCTTGATCAGGTCCTTGCCCGTACGGTCCTGGATGTAGCACTCGACGTTGCATGGATCTACCAGGACGTAAACGTACCAGGTTCGATAGGCTCCTTTCTCGGTGTGCACGATCGGGCCTGGTGTCGCGCTGGTCGCGGTTAACGGCGCGTCGCGGAACGGTGAGAGTTTAAAATAAATATATAACGGATCCGTGGACTCGTAACTGCAGGTGAACAATGTCCACGTGTTCGGCTTAACCTCACCCGTCATTGGCGTTAGACTTACCATCAGTTCACCTAACATTCAATCTTTGGTCAATTAAATTCAATATCTTTAAGGTCATTGGAGACCTGGTAGCTGCTTAGTGGGAATAGTTTTCAGCTTCTTTGGAAAGTCTTTATACGTTTACAGGCTACATACCGGTGTCTTGGCAATATTGGCCTGTGTATCCAGATAGACAGTGGCATTTCACATGGCCAGTCCTGCTGATCTCGCAGCTCTCCTCGTTCTTATTGCAAGGGCATAGGTTGCAGGAGCCTAGGTAGCTGACTGTTCGATCATTGGTGTCCCTGTAGTAACCTCTCGCGCAGGATTCACATGACGTTCCTGTGTAGCCAGTTGGGCAGCGACATACTTCTACGTGGACTGCTCTTCTGCTTCCTGCCACTTCCACTGCCGTGTCTAAACTGATGTCGCTGATATACGTAGCCGTCATTCTTTCACTGTGAGAGGCTCTGACTAGGATAGCTTCTAGGTTAGAAAGTACAGTCATGAGGTCGACGCGTGAGGCCACTCGTGGTCCTTCTGTGGTCAGACGTTTCCATTCCGTTTCCCTTAGAGGAACGGTGTACGTCTGAAAAATATCAAACTGATTTAGACATTTGAATCCCAGAAGACAATTAAGAACCCCAGACACATACCAATGGCAAATCAGGTTGTATCTCCTTAGGATTCGTCCAGAACAACGTAATCCCGTTTCCAATCAGAATTATGTCCTGATCCTTGTAGCTCTGGGCACCAGGGTACGCGGTGATCTGTTGAGTAAGTGTCAGATTGCCACCGTAGCTCTTCACCTTGTTCCCAGTGAACACAGCCGGCAGGGACCAGAAGAGCCTACGGCCTCGACTGTCGGGGTAACGGTAACCGATCTCATTCATGGCAATGTTTAATTCAAAACCGTCGTCGATCACCTCGCGTCTTGTCCTGTGGATAATATAGATTTCTCAGTACTCTACACAGGTTCAAATTCATTGGACCTTGGAGACACTCACGGGTCAGTGAGGGTGAAGCCGTGCTGAGAGTCATAGACCCAGACAGGTATCTGCTGCACATAGAGCGAGCTCTCGTGACATTGATTAGTGACACCGCTGCAATAACACTCGCTACAACCGTCAGGATTCTCCGCAGACAGGCCAAACGTCGATGGTCGACATCTGTTGCACTCTGGACCCTCCACGTTCCGTTTGCAGTCGCATCGATCCCCGATGCAGAAGCTACTACGCGAACCAGCCGGGTTGCAGTTGCACGTGGGTGGTCTTGGGTTTCTGTACACGCAATCCTGGGGGGTTCCTCGGGTGGCATCACCCTCGTATCCGGGCTCGCAGACCTCGCAGAACTCGCCGGTGGTGTAGTGGGCGCAATTCTGGAAGGATGACGCGAGTCAGAAAAGTTCAAGGTTGTCGTTTTTCATAAACGATGAAGGGTTAGGTTACCTCGCATGATCCAGTGTCAGGATTGCACTGGGTGGAGTGGCCGTTGCAGTTGCAAGGCTCACAGATACCCAGATAGAGTCCCTCGTTTGCTCTGGTGTATCCGACATCGCAATCCTCGCAGGACAGACCCTTATATCCAGCAGGGCAACTACATTCTTCCACTTCCACTGCTCGAGATCTTCCTGTATTGTACTTATCCGCTATGTCCAGGGACACCAGGGACAATCTGAGCGAACGAGAAACAAGTATTCAAGACAAAACAGTCCAGTTATCGCCATCACTGTTATAAAGGATTTAACTACTTACGCGGCCTCGTTGGTGTGAGTAGTATAGGTAGCCTTGATCCTGACCGCCCTAATGTCAGCTAGGGCCATTAACAAGTGTTCCCTGTCGGCTTGAGTCCCATCGGTGCGTTGCCAATATTGTTCCAATAACGGAACAGTGAATGTTTGGGGAGAGTTTGCTTCAGGGGATTCCCGAGAGAAGTAGAGTAAGTTGATGTCGTTGGCCTGTGGGATAATCATCAAGCGTCGTTAAGCAGCGTTGAATTGGCAAATGTTGTAGAAGCACTTACGCTGATCAGTTCAACATCGGCAGCGTTGTTCCTCGAGCTCTGGCCACCAGGCGATGGGACATAGCGAACGGTGTACGTAAGATTGCCACCGTACGAAGTGATCTGATTGCCCAAGAAGATGTTAGGCAGTTGCCAATAGTAAACGTCGTTGTTTCCACGATTCGGGAAATCATTGTAAACTATTTCTCTGGACAGTGTGTCCAAACGGATGCCTTCGACGAGGGGTAACGCGTCAGGCGTCTTCAGCTCGACGAGGGAGAAGTCTCTGATGGAGTTGGTGAAGGACACTCGAATCTATAAGGCATCGTGTTCGCATGATTCACGAGGTTTACAAGATATTTCAACTGTAATTAAGGTACTCACGTCGCTTCTGTACCAGTTGGACGACACGCATTTGTTACTGATGCCCATGCAGAAGCAGCCGATACAGCCGAATTGATTCTTCGAAGCAAGGTTGAATGTGTTCGCCTTACATTGGTTGCAAGTGATGCCCGTCGCGTATTGCTGCAATAAAATATGTTCAACGGATAGGTAACAATATTTATCTAGCAAAAATCCTATCGTACAGTAGTTCCTACGTTCCGTACTTACTTCATGTTTCCAAAAGTGAATAACAGCATTGAAAGCACATCGAATATGTTATACAACCTTACTTTTTAATCTTACCGGCATTTTCTAATGATTAAATAATCTCCTTGCACAAAGTTCAGTACCTTGCATCGACACTGTCCAGTGTGGGGATCTACGATCAAACTGAGACTACCGTCAGGATCGCACTGCCGTAACGGGACACACATGTCCCCGGGTATAAGAGGATTGCCTTGGTATCCAACGTCGCACTGTTGGCATCTACGTCCAATGTATCCAGGCGGACAGTCACAAGTGGGCTGACCGTCCGAGCCAAGGTGGCAAGTTCGGGCGAATCTGTTACGAGGCAATTACAAAACCATTGTCGGATATTCGTCGATCTTCCGAACTATTTTTACCGGAGTGTCGCTTACTGATTGGATGGATTGGTGAGCGGACAAGGGCAAACTTGACACTGGATGTTCCTCGAGGGATCTCCATAGTATCCCGGAGCACAAGGTCCTTCGTCTCGGTAGCACTGACCCAGCCAGGGACCACTTTCTCGTCTTAGGTATCCAGGAGCACACTGCTCGCACGATAGGCCGGTATAACCTGGACAATTATTATCGCATATATTAACCACTGGGTCGCATACTAACCAGGCTACACTGGTTCACATACCGGAAGGACACTGGCACTCCTCCACGTAAGAAGCAGACCCGAGGCCAGTGTTCCTCACGTCAGCAGTGTCCATCACGATATTAGTGATTTGAAGGTCCAGGTAGGGAGAATCATCGTACTGTGCTCTGTAAATTGGATTTACCATCGGTTACAAGGAACAACTTTATACAATGAATTTTACACGGTACAAGAACATACTTGATCAGAATGTTGTCCACTCTAGCGAGAGTCATCATGATGTCCTCCCTGGTCGCAGGTATCTCGTTGTATCCCTGTTTCTTGTACCATTCGCCATGGAAGAACCTGACAGATTCCTCAGTGTCATAGCGAGGCACCACCTCTTTACCTCTGTGAACCAGCACATAGTTGTTTCCAGTGAGAATCACCGACGGGGCCGAGTTGCGTATACCGGTGCCGTTGTATCGTACTCTGTACTTCAGATAGCCACCGTAAGACTTCAATTGGCTGTCATGGTAGCTCTCAGGCAGAGCGAAATAGGGAACCTTCTCGTCGGCTCTGCCCCTGGACAACTCGTTGGACAATGCCTCGGTTCCATATAGATGGACACCATCTCGACCCAGACCTCTGACCTCGGCGAACTGATTGCCAATGTCACTGACTATTTGAATACTCGGTTCTTGTTCGACAAGCACGAATCTATGACGATCAAAGGGCGGGGGGATCTGATAAGTGAAGAGGTTCGCGCTACGACACTCGGTGGCCACACCGAAACAGAAACAAGAGATGCATTCCTCCACGGTCCTGGCCTCGGAGTTGAACATCCCCTTGGGACAGATGTCCCGAGGCTTCTCCACCATCACTATAGCGTCAGGCACCGCAAACACGAAGCCAGCGCCGTTCAAAGCCTCGCAAGAGTAGGCTCCTTGGTCCTCGACCTGAATGTCGGGACAGGTTAGGACTCCCGTGCCGTTTATCGATGTCATGGTACACTTAGGAGGTATATGGCCCCAGTTCAGACGCCAGTTGATCTCCGGAGTGGGCACACCGATCGCTGTACAGGTGATCACCAGGACTGCTCCTATTTCCAAGGTGATCATCGGAGGAGGCGGTTTGATTATGTACACGGGGGCTGAAAAATAGGTACTCCGGTAAACTAAAGGTATTACTTAGTGAGATGTACTAAACACTTACAGCATCCTATCTCATCACTGCCGTCGATGCAATCTTTCTCCAAGTCACAGTGGTAGCTTTTCGGTATACATTGACCGCTGGCACAGGCGAACTCTGTGAACCGACAAGGAGAGCCTGGTCGGTTAGGTGTGCAGTTCTCTTCGTCACTTCCATCTGCGCAATCTTTGTCACCGTCGCAACGCCACAGTTTGCTCACGCACTGAGTGTTGTTACAGCGATATTCGTTGGGCTCGCAACCATGAGGACCTATTGTCATACAGATTTTGAACGAGGGCAACAAAAAAATATGGAACCAAACGGAAGTGAACTGTAACTCACTGCAACGCATTTCATCTGATCCATCGGTACAGTCCAGCCTACCGTTGCACACGTACGATTTGGGGATACAGTCGCCATTGCTACACGTGGCTTCGTCGTATTGGCACGTGTGAGGTCTGTTGGTTGCTGGTTGTTCGACTGAAACGAAGATTCACTTGTTAGTACATTGGACTGCAAGTTCTGATTCATTAATGTGGTACATACACTTTTCTACAGACAGATGCACTGTCACTTGTTGGCCAGCTGTGGACGGAGCCCAACCAACAGCCTCGCAGATGTAGGGTCCAGCGTGGTCCAGCTGAATGTTTGGAATCTCGAGACGTCCATTGACGTCTTGACTGCCAGATGGTAAAGGTAGATTGTTCCCACGGAGCCAACGCACCCTGGCACGCAACGGACCCTCGTCACGACATTGGAAGACAACTTCGCGACCTGATCACCGGGGAAAGAAACTGTATTTACCAGAAGTGACTTCTTCATATTGGTGTAGCGTTATGATGTATTATTTGTACTGATATTATTGTAACGCTGGCGTTGCTTGTGTTAACGTAGATGTTCAGTGTTTAGTGTAATTAAAAAACGTTAATGTGAAGTGGTGTCATGTGTTCTGATACTTCAATTTGAACAAATGAATCATGCTATGTATGTATAGAATCTCGAAACGGTATTTCTTTAAAAGTATAGTTCATTATTCTCTGTTTGTTTTCGTTGTCCCGTTCATGCACAACAAATACCCAAAACGTTACCCTCAGCGTAACCTGTATTATACATATTAAATGACATTAAGCCCTTTACAGACACAATATTCGAAGACTCCATCCGAAACATTTTTGAGTAAATAAAATGATATTTTTACATTCCACGATCCTCCCGAATTAACAATGAGACATTCTACGATGAAATGGACAAGATATTAATCATGTTCTTTTACTTTGCAATATTCCATACAGCATTATTTGCGAGTGTTTCTCAAAAAATCTTACCTTGCTTCGCCGGGTCTGGCCAAGGCAAGAAAAATAACGAGATTTTTTATTAATAATATACAGTTTAATCGACAGGTTTTGTGCTTGATAGAATAATTTCGTTTTCCAATCATTTCTAGTAATTAATTGATTACACTTACTTTCTTTTATCACTTGCTCACTGGGATATGTCTTCAAGTTCAGGTGGGATGGTTCTCTAGGTGGATCTAAGAAAACAGATAAGGGTTACTGTCAACCGATCTGAATGGAAAACAAACCGCAGAACTTTTAACGTTACGGTATTATCCACTCACAGCAATTTTCTTCGTCCGATCTGTCCCTACACTCCGGCACTCCATTGCAGACTGAAGATTGAGGGACACAATCCTTGTCTCTGGTACACATGATATAACCAGCAGGACAACGTCCTGGCATAGGATGGATGCCCGGTCGATCTAGCGAAATAAATACAAAAACCTTAACATGAAATAACCTGTGACAGTATAGTATACGCATATTAAACACCTACCACATTCTTCAGGCTCGTCGGATCCATCGGTGCAGTCGATGTAACCGTTACACTTTTGTTCAGATCTGACGCATTCTCCATTCGCGCACTGGAACTGGTCCTTTCCACATCCTAAAATAATAGTCCACATTGTAGAATGTCAAATTTGATTTAATATATGCGATGAAATCACCATATATATCTGTCAAAAAAATGTAAACGAGGTATAAGTATATGTCAACCAGTCATGGAATCAAGAGAGGAGTCTATTGTTACTGCTAAAACAGTTGTCTAAGGGTTTATATGGGACATCAAGGGTACCTAGAACTAAGAATGTCAGTAAAATGAATAACTGCACAGAGAAATAATTGAGGATCAATACTAATTGTAAGTAAATTTGTGTTAAAGACATAATTATAGAATATCCTTGGGTTTCTCTGTGCATTCAGTATAAATGTATACAACACTTTCTACTATCATCTACAATACCTACATATTTGTAACAACAGACAGTTCACCAAGAAGGAACGCCAGGAATGACATGCTAAAAGACAAACAATTCAGTTGTCAGGGTGTCCTTTCTTTTTTTTATTTCTACAAGGTAAATGAACCTACTGGTCACATGCTATGGCTAACTATGTACATCTACAAACATGGATCAGGCAGAAGATGCACTATTGTTCACAGATGTGACCTGAACAAGTACTCAAGTCTCTACTCGAGCAACCTAAACACCGTCTAGTCGGTTGCTAACACAGACTGAAAGAAAATGCAGATCCCAGAGAATCTGTGGCATCCAGAATTCAAAAGCAGACAATGAAAAGGGACAGCTGGTCTTAAAATATTACTGACAATGAGTTCCCTTAAGGGAGAACACAGAAATACATGTCTGATTTCAAGAATCCAAGAGACAAAATTAATGGGAAATATTGGGATGGCCAAAACGTTCCCGCAATAACGTTCCACAATAATCAAATGTGAAGTGTTCAATCGACATAAATTGGGCTGAATTGCACGAATATTCCAAATATCGGAAGCCAAGCGCGGGAAACCGTTTTCGTCAACTTGATTATATCAACCGGCTTATATAAAAACCGCGGGAACTTTTTCGGCCAATTGAAATTGCATTTGTCAGAGACAAAAGTAAGTGCGATTAGGGGGATGGACGCCATCAGATCTTCAAGGTCTACCGATGTAATCTAACCGAAGCAATACTGTTCGTCGGTAAAGTCGCGGCAATCGTAGAAATGGTCGCAGTGGTGGGTTTCAGGTATGCAAGTGCCATCGGCACAAACAAAATCACCCGGAGCACAACTCCTTCGTGTGCTCAGATTAGCCGGCATCTGATAGTCCGGCCTGTAACCGTTGCCAGCCTGGTTCTCGTGGGTCAGGCTGTCCGGATGCCCCCTCGAGGAGGTTCTATCCGCATTTCTACCTAGAAGTAACCGTAACTGAACCAGCTTTGCCTGCCAACGGGTCTAGAAATTTATTTTTCGTTTTTGTCTTTCTTTAGATCCTCGACACATCTTTGGAATATCTTCTGGACGGGAGGAGTTACTTACTTTTTCATAGTCTCTGGGGCTGAACAATCTCTAGTTAAACGACGTGTTGCAATTTGGGTGCGTTAGACTGATGGCAGAGGGTTCAAAAAGGTACTGTGACGTTCTTCGTAACAGAAAAACTCTGTTCTTAATTTATAGATAAGGCTATTACCCCGGAATATTCTGTAATTTTTTTGGTGATATTCTCGACAAATTAGGGTGCGTCTGCTAGCAGTCTAAAGTGCAGTCGGTGCACATAGAAAATCGGTGCAACACAGTAATCTGTTGCCTCTAGCGGGTGTGCACGCTTGCGTCACAGCCAAACATTGCGTATGCACCTGGTGCTTTGCGTGATCTAATGGATCAAAGGTGCAAGGTCGAGTGGTTCGCGGTATTTACAGAGAGAGACAGAGAGAGAGAGAGAGAGAGAGAGAGAGGGGGGGAGGGGGAGAGAAAGAGAGAGGGAGAGAGAATGAGAGCGGTCGAAGTCAGACGTTTCCCAGATAGTTCCCCTGTTCTGAGTGAACCGTTTAGGATCTGATGAGACCTTGTACATATACAATGGAGCCAGAAAGGGCAGTTTAAGCAATTTAGAGGTCTGCAAAGTGGTCATCAGAAGACTCAGAACAAGTTACACTTCTGGGTCATGTGTATGGGAGATGATGTGCTATATGTATCATATCTTTATGAAGTGCCTAATTCTTGAATGTATATTCTAAATATTATAATATAGAATCATCCCTGCGAGACGTAGCTAGTAGTACAAGTCGACGCATGAATCTCGCAGTAGATTCATCCACTTCAGGCTAAGCCAGCTTCCTTCGATTTCTAGCTCACCTCGGTGACAATTCGCCTCGTCGTCCTCGTGAGGGCAGTCTATACGTCTGTCACAGACGGCTGACTGAGGAATGCAACTTCCATCGCGACAGGTGAACTCATCGTGGCGGCATCTTGTTGACGGCGGTTGTGTGGTGCTCTCTCCAGTTTCCGCTGTAATTGAAATCGTTCGTTACTAATCCGATATTATCACTGTTCAATCTTGTGCCAAGGTAATTCGGTAATTTCCTAAGATAAAGTGATCTTACGGCAGTCACGTTCGTCGCTGCCGTCCAAGCAATCTGGGTTGTTGTCGCAGAAGAAGTCCTTGTTGATGCACACGTGGTTGTCGCATGGCCGTTGTCCGTTCGGACACTCTGAAAAATCATGCAAGCATCAACCAATAGAAGCGACCAGATGCGAGCAGAGACCAAAAGACAGCCCACAGAAGAGAGAAAATTCGGGGCAGTGTACACGCTTCCTGGCTGTTTCTTCGAGTTCCACGGACTATACGAAGAAGGATCGACACACGTTTTAGGAGACTGGTGTTTCGACCGATTTTCCACGGTTTAACGGGCTGAATTAAAGGAGACGATAGAGCGGTTGAATAAGTGGCCGCGATAATTAAACGATCGATAGATCGACCCACGTGGGACCAGGACAGGGGATAAGACCGAGCTTGTCGAACAAACAGCGTGCACACTGCCGGATGTCATGCGACTTTTAAAGAGGAAAACACGGATCCCAAGATGTACATTCGGTCGTAGACAAACAGAATTGGAATACCAATTTAGAACACTCTTCGCGACTAGGGGTATGCAAAGAACAGAGTCCGCAAGTATAGTAAACCATCGATGAGTGGTCGAAGCCTCCTTGCCACTGAGTGTTCAAACGTCATCCCCATCACTGGGCGAATTACACTCATCGATGATTTACTGTAATATCTTACTCGTCTACATTTTTTACCTTTAAATCGACATTAATCGATAGGTGGTCGATCGAGTTTTTTCAATTATTATCCGAATAGAGTGTAGGTCCGCGTAAGGCTTAGATACTTACTTGTGAACTGTCAGTAAATGAAATTGAATGTTAAAAAATTGATAGTTCTATTATCCGACCAGTTACATGTACACCTGTTAATTCAGATACCGGAGGCTCTACTGTACTAGCGAAAAGTTTTCTGTTTGCAGGCTACCAAATATGTTAGCGCAGTTCCCCGAAATCTGAGGCAGAAGTGCGTATAATTCGTTACCATTATCTGGCTACACGTCACACGACGATTAATCGCGGCTAGGATCTCGCGCGTCGATAATGAGCATTACGCCCAAAGGCGTCTGGGGGCGCGAGCGATTGGTATTCCAATATACCGAAGAGGAACGCCGCACCACTCTATTGGAAGAGTAGTAAGTACCGAAAATTCTACAACCTCCGCGATAACTCCCGCGTGAATTACGTCCCCCCTGGGGGAGGGAGACGTTTGTATTAGTACTTTGCCCTCGAAAAGCTACGAACGTTTAACGTACGGTATCGGGCGGATAGATCTTAAGCAGAAGGCGGTGTGCCCCGTAAATCTAAGATTATTAATACGGTTCAACTCAGAGTAATAGAGAGAGAGAGATACAGATAGAATTGAGAGAAACGTATCTGTGGGTCGCGAGGAGCTCGATTCACCGTGGTACAGGAAAGTCTCGTTAACTGCTCGAGCAATTCTTATTACACAATTTTCGACCTTCGTAAATCTTGTGCTACAAAATACCTGAAAAGGAACAGAGTATTTATCGAGAATTTACTGTAAAACCATCTTTCTCTCGAGCTTCTCGAATCCAAAGAAACTAATGATTCCTGGTAACCTGTGCGTACAATCTTCAAATAATTCGTGCCGCTCCGATTGTAAGATGCTCTGCTACGAGCGGCACGAATTAAACGCGCGGTCGCGCCGAAATGATTCTTGCCAACCATCACGCATCGTCACCTGGCAAGAATTATTCGAGCACCACCGTGCACAAAAAAAAGGAAGAGAGAGAGAGAGAGAGAGAGAGAGAGAGAGAGAGAGAGAGAGAGAGAGAGAGAGAGAGATTCATCTGGATCGTGCGTTGTGCAGAGGGATTTCATTTTTTCAATAAAAGATCGTAGTCAACGGCAGATCGTGAAAGGATACACATACAAGTGAAAATACCTAGTGTAACATATCAAATCTCAGGCAACCTGTGCTGAAAGAAGAAAGACAGAGGGGTGTAGATACAGAGGAAGAGAGAAAAATCGAGCACAAAAATAGAGTATATTATGGGTTTAGGAACAATTCCAGAGTACCAAAATTCAGTGAAAAGAATTGTTTTAGGAAGGAAGGGACACGCTGAAACATAACAAAGACAGTCGTTTTGAGCAGGTTGAAAAATCGAGGCTGTCCAGTTGCATTCTTCCGTGTTCAATTGAATCGATTAACTGTTTAATTAATGCAGCTCACAAAATAAGGGAAAGGCGTTTGGAACGGAGTGGAGTCCGCTTTTGCTCCTGGGCTTACACATCTCTCGCAAATTATACGGACGAAAATAACCCAAGTAGGTCGAGGATCCTGATGAAATTTCTCTAGACGAAATAATAGCAACAATAATACCCACAAGATAAATTATGGTCGTGTGTCTTCGCGGTGATTAACCCTTTTACCATATTAATGCATCGTATATTATATGTATATCGTGATATATTTATGTCAGTCGATACCAGAGTGAAATTCTAGCCAAAAATATAGAACCAAGTCTTCTTTTTTCTTGTTGCTTTCTCTCCCATAGGGACTCGCGGCTCACTTCTACGAGAAAAACGACTTCAAAGTCGGTCGAGGGCGAGCGAGCGAGCGCGCACGCTCTCGCTGGGAGCCGCTTCAGGGGGCTCTTAAAAATTAAAAAAAAATCCTGCCTCCGCGAATTTCAATGAAGACACCGGCATTATAATGTAGAATTCATTACACCCTGCTCAGAATACAACACGTCTAAATTCACAAAAAAAAAAAAAAACTATATAAATCGGGGGTCAATTCAAATTCAAACACTTTCCATAACTTGTGACTGTATACAATAGAATTCTATCGACCTATCTGTTTTAGCTCTGAATTCAAGCTAATCGAGAAATAGTACGATTGTTTTCGAAGGAAATTCACTTTTCAAACGAGAGATTCTAAGGTGACTACTTCGTGCGACCGTATTTGCCTTCTATTTATGAGGAAAAAATGTGCAGTCGCGTTAGGAATTTTAGCAAAAGGATTGGTTCTCATATTTCTACGGGGCTTTCGTTCGATATTTCAAAGTGTGGAACCCCTTTGTTTGGAACATTACGATGCTTCATTTTGCGAATTGCAACTGGACACCTTCGATATGTTTGGAGAAAGCTTGTGTCGGTCGTCAAAATCGAGCACAACAGCGAATGGTTCTCGCGCGAACACACGGTCGATACAATGACGAAACGAGATTAACGGCTCTCGTGCGTCTGGCCGAACGAAGCTGGTTCTCGCATTAGTTACAGCTTCTTAATTGCCGCCTTGCAGACCAACGCGCGCGCGAGCAGGAGAACCGACTCGAGAGCGCGGCTCCCCCTCGTCGGTGTGTAAGTGACTAGCTGACTCGCTATCCCAAAGCGAGCCGCGTACGCATCGATTTCCATTCCGTTGGCTTCCTCCTCGTTTTTCACGCTCGGGCTCGTTCCCGCGGCCATACGTAGTCCCCGACTATGTGCCACCGATTTTTATGGGGAAGACGTTCCAACGATAAATAAACGCGGCGAAGAAGTCGCTTAGAATTCCCCTTCTATTCGGCTCAGAGATCTAGGTAGTAATCTCAAAGACTATAGTCTCAGAAGTAGTAGTTTTTCAGAGGCAGTACAATCAGAAATAGTAATTTCATAGATAGTACCCCTCAAAGATAGTAGCCTACAAGGACAGTAAGTAGCCCTCAAAGATAGTAGTCCTGAATGACAGTAAGCTCAGCGATAGTAGCCCCAACGTCTCCTACACCTAGCTGGATCTCTGTTTGGGGATGACATTTATTCCCATCAAATCTATATCCCCGAGTAATTCAAGATTCTCGTTTGATAGTGATTTTAATGTTGACTTTTCAATTCAAGTGACTTCTTCCTCGCTGATTGCGTGTTCCTGCCTGAACAAGATTACCAAGGAATCCAACCGGAAATGAATGCGTATACGGAGTGTCAGAATTCCCAGTCGGAAGAGAAGGAGGAGGAATCCCTCGGTATTGGAAGAAGGCTCGGACCGTGGATTCCCCGGATTATTCTATTAGCAGCCCCCACTCTTTTCATGCGATTCTACTACAAAGACCAGGTTGTTTTCAAATCGAAATACGTCGAAACTCGTAACGGGAACGATTCGTCAGCCCCTGTGTTAAAGTCGATCAGAGGTAATTACGTGTGTAGAGAGAGAGAGCGAGAGAGAGAGAGAGAGAGAGAGACAGAGAGAGGGGGGAGGAAGCTGCAACAGTGGGTGAAACAAACAGACAGATACACAGAGAAGAGATCGTCGAGAGTGAAACGAGAATATGACTCTTCACGTAATTGTCTCCCCTGAGGAAAATTTCCTCGAGCCTTTATCTGTTAAATCTTGTATAATATTTCGTTCCTGACCCATCAGAAGCTTTAATTTAATCAATCAGAACTGAGATCTATGCTGAAGGTCTATTAACTCCTAACATAAATCCTTCATCAATGCTAATCTATTTTTTAGATCATTCTGTCTTCAAGATTGCTGACGTTTCAAGATCGAAATACAGTGTTCCATCGATTATTGTCAAGAATTCGAGTCCGTGTCGCGATAAGTGTCTAACAGGAGAAATTTTTGCAGTCCGAGCATTGGCAACAAAAGTGTGGTGGGGGGCAACAATGTATGCGCTTGATAGGTTCCACCACCACACCCCCCAGTAGAGGGGATGACACCCTGACAAAAATTGTGTAGTAGTCTGCAGAACCAGTTAGACAGTGATTGACGGAATACTGTACTCTTCAGGATTAACCGACCTTCGGTTCAGAGAAGAATCTCGAGGACAATTTGTCCCTCAGAGGATAGAAACCGTCGATTCGTAATGAACAGTACCGGAAGCGACCGTGTTCAGCTCGGACTCCAAGATATGGCAATCGATCTCGTCCGAGCCGTCCAGGCAATGCGGCCGACCGTCGCAACGTCTGTTGCTGTTGAGGCACAGCCCGTCGTTGCATCGAAACGTTCCAGCCGGACATTCGTTCACTACAACGTGATCCCTAAATGGCTGGGTGGTTCTCCATCTTGGCGGCGTGCAAGTGATCGGGAATCAGGAGGACGAAAAATGGCCTTCTCGACCGGGTACACATCGTCCCTTTCAGCATTTTCGGTGTTTCATTTCGTATGATCATTTATAAATTGTGCATCGATGATTTTCAATCGCTGAAAGGGACGAACGACACGGTCGCCACCCTTGCCTTAGGCTACCTTGCGTGCACGTTGGTCCGTAAAATCACAGGGTGTTAAAGGGTTACTTACAGAATTCGGTCCGAGTTGTCGAGAGACCAGAAAAACATGCGGTTTCAACGTGCAATCGAACCATACACATGCAACATGAAGCATATTTCTGGATGTATAATTGAGCTTGAATTGACAACAGAAAGGTTCACTGGGATTTATTGATTAGTTTCTAGTGGATTGAGATGCTTGGAACGAACCTTGACGAGGGAATGCGATTATATTGTAGACAGAGTTAGTTTGTAAGAGAGATGCATCGCGTGTGTGCTGAGAATTTTCGGTGAAAATGTCGTATGAGGATTAGTGGAATGAGTGGGGAGACCGATGTTAATGATATCTGTCGTGAGAAGTTTGTCAAACGTCGTCAAACAGCGTCAAAAATTGTCAAACATCGTCGTCGAACGATGCAGAACACAGTGAAACTTTGTCAAAGGACGTCGAATACAGTGAAACTTCGTCAAACAACGTCAAACTCGAGCAGAACGTCGTCAAACAATATCGTTTCGTGTCGTAAGAAGACACAAGAGGGCGGTAGGCCAATTTTCGTAATCTGAGGGATTCTGGAAAGGGTTGGGACACATAGTTACCACATCGATCCTCGTCAGACCCGTCAGCACACTGGATTATGCCATCGCATCTCTCGTTTTCCGGCAAACACTCACCACTGGCGCATTTCCATTCGGCCGGAGTGCAGACCCCTTGGCGGTACGAACACGTGTAAAGCACACGAAGAAAGCGTTAACGTGGCGGGTATGACTGGCTCATGATGAGCAGGAGTTTTGGTACGGCGTGTGGGTCACTCAGAAATGTCGTATGTCAAAATTATACGTGTCAGACTATCCAGATTTTGAGGAGTCTAGATTAATCGCTGTACAGACTCGAATTAGTCCTACTATTGAACTTTATTACGTTTGAGTTTGATCAGGTTTCAAGTAGATTAAGTCAAAACCTGGATAGGTGCAAATTCGAATTTTCAAGAATGAGTTTTCCTATCACATTTTCTGGTCTACTTAGTACATCTGTTCCAATAGATCTATATGTGTAAATATGTTCTTGCGAAGACTGTATATTCCGAATGACCCAAGAGTGCCATGAATCAAGCTCTTACCACAACCACGCTCGTCACTGCCATCGAGACAGTCGAAGATATTGTCGCATTTGCGTCGCAGTAGAACACACTTGCCGTCGTCGCAACGCATTTCGGTACTGGGATCGCATTCCCTCGGGTTCTCGGTTGCCCAACCTGGCCAAGGCAGGCCTGGACGGTACACAAACAAACAAGGCGTTGCAAACTACTCGAAACGAAGCGACTTTAGCAGGGGACAAACAACGAGGGACAGGAACCGCTACGCTGATTTGCGTTCTGAACCCTTCAAGTTCCTTCTTAAACTCATCAAAATAATACTTTTTTTAATTAATTAAAGGGTTTCATAACAGCGCAGCGACGTGGTCCCTGTTTCCGAAGTGCTGGGCAAACAAAACAAGTTTTTTACCTAGATGGGCGTCAGACTCGTGCAGAAAGCTGAGCACAGAGGAAGAGGAGTCGAATACAGTCGAAAGCAGACTTACGAAACGTATACAAGAAAGTGAGGGAAGTGTCAACCTGAGAAGAAAGTTCTCAAGGTTCGACCAAGTTTGAAGCTGATCCGTATGCCATGTTTGTTCAAACATATTCAAACATTCTCGAATACCTTCAAACTTCGTTAAACTGATCTTCGCATTTTTGAAGGAACGTTACACTCATGTTGACAATCCCCTACTGATCGATAAACGCACCCCTGGTGTACGGAACTATAAGAAAAAAATATTTAAGATCGATTGCACCCTTTTTAGCAATAATTTTTTTCTTTTCTTCTAGACGATACACAGGATTCCGTTCATCAGGGGTCGACGCGAAATTGTTGAAAGAAACAATTCAAATGAAAGAGGGGATAAAAAGGCGTACTGGTAGGCTGAGTGACGTGTGTAGTGGTTTCGTGAACGCAATCTTCATCGCTCTGATCTGGACAGTCCGGATGGCCGTCGCACCTGTAGACACCCTCGATGCACTTGTTCCCGGTCAGGCATTTGAACTGCGTGGGCGTGCATTCCCGTTCTGTTTTGTTGTTGTTGTTGTTTTTTTTTTTTAAGTGTTGCGGTCGTTTGTGTCGCAGCGGGAATATATACGAGCAGAGAACACACATTTATGTACAGTGACGTCGACGATGAACGCTGTTCGGGAAGCGGATGATAATCTTCTTAGGGGGCAGGAGCAGGCTTGTCTCTGACCACTGGAGAAGGACTCGTCCATTTCAAAGACTTCTAAGTTTAAGGATTCATCCACTTCAGAGATTTTGTAAGCTTGTAGCTTAAAATTTGTGACCTTTTTTTTTCATTATTAACCAGCAGTTAAACTACTATCATTTAGGTCTTCGATAAAAATTTTCTCTTGAATGCTAGAGTTCTGTTGCTCATAAACACGGAATATCGAGTGGTTTCTTCTTCGGTAGTTGATCCTGCCCCCCAATTGGGAAAACTAGATTTTGATATTCAAGGGTTTTGATTTCTTTACTATTCCTCTCAGGATTCTGTTTCTGTGAGGGCATCACGAAAGCTGGAAGCTCGAACAACTAAAGCGTTCGATGAACAATAGTATGTAAAGCTGTTGCTTGTCACGAATTAGGGAGCTGTATCCAAAGGGCGCAAGTTAGAGGGTTATGTTGACAGTTAATTGATTCACTGGTTCGATACTATTAATCTAAAGGACAGTTTCTTGAACAATGGGACACAGGAATCTGTATATATTTATATATATATGTATATATATATATGCAATCGATGATAAATTTGAGGGATGAGGTTCAAGTTTTGTAAAGCCATTACTGAACAGATATAGTATCAACGATGAAAGCTCTAAAATTTGGTTCCATCACGTTTCTATTTCAGTGGTAGGGCCAGTAATTGGTCAGACTCGAAATAAAACATTAGTGACTATTTCCAGATGTTTCTAGGACCTACTGGTACCAGATAGACACGTCGATCTTCATTCGACCAAAATAAGTCGGGTGAAATTGATATCCCTTGTGACAATTAAGTTTCAACGATCAACGATAAGTCAGACATCAAGTACTTCTTCTGGAGCTTTCATCGTTTTTTCATCACAATCTGTCCTGTGAACAGGGCCACAGGGTAGATTCATGGTGTCAGGATTATTTTAGCAAGCAGAAGCAAGGACCATCAACTTCAAGGATTCTCTTAGCATTTTCATCGAAAGCAGATCACAAAATTGTAGAACAAGTCTCGAGTAATTTTAACGTGATTCCTCGACGTTGATGGATCCAAGACGGAAACGTAAGTGTTTATATACCGCAGTGAAGCTCGTCTTCTGCCCTCGGGCAGTCGTCGAATCCGTCGCAGACCGAGCTTTTCGATATGCAAGAGCCGTCGCTGCAGGTGAAGTCCATAGTAGGGCACGGGGCCAAATCTACAGGGGGCGCCACCGGCAAAAACAAACAGCCTGTTTTCTCAACCCTTAGCCCCCGCCCCCGCCCCCCCCCAGGTCCCTGCCTAGGCCCTGGTTCTTTCAGGATTTTTTTTACCCAAGAGAACCGAGGCCCGGACACAGATTGTTATGTACAGAAGCTGCCCCGTCGTGGGACACATTTAAAGCGACACGCGACGCTGATACACTGAAAGCAGTTTGTTACGGTGAATGATATGGTACGGCTGTGGGCCCGCGACATATCCTTCGAGCCTTCTCGGCCGATCGTCGAAGGGACCGCTGACTGGAAGACCTGGTAATGATCGGTCAAACATTTTCAAACACCTTCAAATACCTTCTAACTTCATCAAACAGATCTTAAAACACCTGTCAAATTTCATCGAACGTCTTGAAACTGGTTCAGAATTAAACTAGACTTCTAAAAGATGTATTACTCTTATTCTGGCAATTCCCATTGGCCAATAATAATCTTGGATTAAATTTTCTAGACGGGACTATCATCTTTCAAGACAAGGTCACCAATTTCAGTCAAGATCAAAGGATCGTCTACGAGAATATCCGCGGCCCACAGCGGACGACTCCTCGACCAGACATACGCGGATTAAAAAGGGTGGAGACTTTTTACAACGGGGATTCCTGTCGAAGCTGACTAACACTTAAAGCAATCCGGAGAAGCCCCTCTCCGTAGGCGAGTACGGAATAATTCCGTTGGGTTTATGTACAGTGTGTTCGGTATTCGAGTGAACGTGTTGTGTCCGTTCGCGGCTAGGCTAAGTGCCGTTTTCAAAGATGAAACGGAAAACGACTCTCCTTCAACTGTCTGCCGTGTTTTGTTTGGAGACCAAACACAGTTCCAGATTAGACCTGAATGACGTGATCCCACTGGACAGAGTGGATTTATTGATCATAAACCAACGTCACATTAATCCCTCGTACACTGAACAGCAGTCCACTGGCTACTTCTGGAGAATAACAACTACTTGGCTCTACTTCCCTCCCATTCACGAACAATTACGTCTACAATTCTGGCATTGTGTTTATTTCTAAGCCCAGAGATCCTAAAAACTGGCCCATTTCTAAGAACAGAAAATATCTAAACTCGTGAATGGTCAGGAAATCGTCACCTGTCTCCAGAAAATTCTAAAATACCCTACGTTTACACACAAGTGTCCTTCCAAGGCGGTTTGTACAGCACAGATGGACGTCACACAAAGGTAGAAATCGTTTCGAACACACACATCTTCTTCACGGACTGATGTGGTCACGTGGAAGCCACCGATTTGTACAGCATCGTCTTTAAGCCCAGACGTTCTACCCCAGTATTCCTCGTCTCCATTGGTAGCAGACGGTCTGAGGTTCCCACGAAGCAAGAAGATAATCTCTAGAGTACAGAAGCCCAGTTGTTTCGCTACCTTTCTCCCCGCAATCCGCCTCGTCTGAACCGTCCTCGCAGTTCCTGACGTCATCACAGACCAAAGTGTTGCTGATACATCTCCACCCATCGCAGAGGAACTGATACTCCTCGCAGCTGGCACTGGTCCTGTTCAGCTTGCCGTACTCCCGCCTGGTGCTGTAGTAATAGTCACAGTCCATCTCATCAGTGATATCCTTGCAGTCCACGAAACCATCGCAAACCTTGATCTCCGGAACGCAGAGATCCTGGTCGCAGAGGTGCTGATTATCCTCGCAAATTTGAGCCTCGGTGGTCGGAGCCAGCTTCTTGGATCCTCCGTTTATGAAGGTGTACTCCTCCACGAAATCGATAGTGGACGATCTACTAGCTGTCACGTCTAAATTCTGAGTAGCTGACTGCTCAATGCTGTCCTCTTCGCAGTCCTCCTTCGAGGCTGGGTCTAAGTGGAACTTCCAGCCGAACCAGCCACCTTCTGTAGTGGTACTTGGACCCTTCTTGCAATTTCTGGTCACAGATGCGACGATAGTGAAATCGGTGACCTCCTCGCTAGAGGATGTTGTCCCCTGGTCAGTTTGCTTCTCTTCGATGTCTGTGATCTCTTTATAGGAGGACTCATCGAAAGTATCTTGTGTGGAGAAATAAGGAGTCGTTGGGTCCCACAGAGTGGATTGAACGTCGGGATCGGTCCAACTGCGATTCTGTTCCCATAATGTCTCCTGAACGCTCACAGTGGTGTCCTCTTGTATGGGCGTGCTGAGAGGATTATTCGTGGTATTCGTGCGTTTGTTCTTCTTCTCTTTATTTGTCTTGTTCTTCTTCCCTTTATTTGTCTTGTTCTTCCTCTCCTTTTTCTTACCACGATTCGATCTGCCTTTGCCAGGTCCTTTCGGCTTCTTTCTGCTGGTCTCGGTGATCAGCTCCACCAAATCTGTGGACTCTGTCGTTCTGATCACTCCGGGGCTCGGCTGCCAGGTGTGCATCGTCTCTTTCAATACTGGATCAAATACCTCTGTTGCTTCGTTAGGATCCAGTTCGAGATCGGTACAGTTCACCTTGTCCAAGAATCCATTGAACGTGGTATCATCTTCTGTTGAGTTGATCAAGCCTGTGTCTACCTTCTCATCGACGGCTACCTTGGAATTCTTCCTCCTTTCTTGCTCGTGCATTTTCTTCAAGAGTTCAGCGCACTTCGAGGTGCACGTGTACAGCTTCTCATGAAAGGTCTGATCATTGGACACCGAGGGATTCGTGGGAACTTCGTTCGAGAGCCTATCTCCACTCAGAAGATTGAGGTTCACCTTAGAATTGTATGCTGTACTCTCGAACAATACGTTCTCCAACTCGGCGTTCGTTTTGTTGGCTACCTGGTCGTCGTCTGGAGTTACGGAAACAGTTATGGCAGACGGTGTCACCTTCCCCTCCAAGTATTTGTCGTAGTATTTGGCGAACTTGCCGTTTATCTTTGCTTTGTAGCCGTAGATGACTTTTATGCTGCCTGAGTCCCCTTCAGTCACCCTGCTGGAAACACCGTCCAGTGTTTCTGTCGAGAAAGTCACTTCTTCAGGATCTGGTTGTGTAATTTCCGAAAGAATGTTGGTCTCGAAGTCTTCATCCAGATCTTCTTTCGAGGATCCTGTGACATTAGATGCATCTAGGGTGGTATCCTGTTCATCTGGACTGACAAGTGTGGTTTGCTCTTCAGGTATGGTCGTCAGATCTTCTTCGTAGTTCCTTTCGGTGAACTGTGTGGTTTGAGATGCCTCGGTTACATGCCACGTTCTCGTTTTTCCTTCAGGTGTGGCGGTACTCTTTAAGGTCTCCTCGGTGTTCGACGAAGAAATCATACGTTGTTCTTCGTGTCCTTCTGTAGCCTCAATGATCTCGTTGATATTAGACTTCCTGTTTTCTGTCGTCTTGAGTTTCTCCTCATAGTCACCTGCAGTTTCTGGCGCAGTTTCTGCTTTGCTCATTTGTTTGTCAACAGTTTTATCCCCTTTGGTACCATTCTCTGATGAATCCAAGCCAAGTGACGAAGAAACAATACTAGCTGTGGTCGAGGTGGTGACTCTCGACGTGGTCAACTTCTTCAGGTGCTTTTCAAAGTATTTCTGGTACCTCGAGAGATGCTTCTCAGTCGTATTCTCATTCATGGTCGACACAGCGTAGGTAGTATCCTGATGTGGCAAACGAAAGGTGGTCACCACAGTATCCAAGATCGATGGATCAGTGCTCGAATCGTTCCTGGGGTTCTTCCTCTTCCCGTGCTTCCTTCTTTTCTTTTTCCTCATTAGCTCCTTGGTCTCCCCTTCGGTGGAGTTCCCAGATTTCTTCAAAGTATTCTCACGATTCTTTGATCTCGAAGTTCTACTCAAATGGCCAGGTCGTCGATCGATCGATATCGATCTCCTCGATTCCTGCATCATTTCAGGAAAAGCCTCCTCGATCGAGTTCCCGATGACGTTGTCGTTCTTAATGAAAAAACCTCGAGGACCCTGATCGATCCTCCTCAAGGACGAATCCCGTTCGACCTCGTTCCTCCAGGCTGGTTCCTTCTTTTTTGAAGACTCCACCGATTCGATTCTCATTCTGTCGACTCTCTTTTGGTAGATTTCATGTTTCTTCGTCCAGAATCGTTCGTCGTTGTACATGTTCTTCCACGATACTTTCTCTAGGATGACGATGATCGCGATGAACGGTTAGCGAGATAGGAAAAACGATGGAAACAGCCGTATCATCGCGGCGTGAATCCTGATATTTCGTAGGTTTGTCGACGAGTGGAGGAAGAAGAAAGGCTGGAACAAGGCTCGAAGAGAAGACATTTGGAACGAATTGGCTTGTTCTGACCGAAGAATCTGGTTCTCGGTGTAAATCGATTATAGTGTAATAAATGAATAACCCTGTATAGCGTAAGCTATTTGTAGATCACTCTTACCTAGTATTTGTTATACTTTTATTCTATTCTATTTTTACTCTATATACTTTATTCTAAATTGATTCTTCTTTTTCTTTGCTTCCTGCACCTTTCCTCTTCCTCCTCCTCCTCATCCTCCTCCTCAACGTTGTGCCTTAGATTTAGGGATCATCCCCAGGATCTTGCCCCGTTATATTCGAGATTACAGACCAGGAAATCACTATCGTTCCAAAACACGATCAATAAATTCCTGATAATTTTCGAATTAGTTAACGATCGCTCTCTGGCCAAGCAGCTCGACCGTCCGTTTCCCGCCGCGTTTAAAAGTCTATCAACGAATGTGTCGGTGTAGGTGTAAGTGTAAATGGGTACGGGTAGGTAGCGTGAAATGGCATAATTACCGCAATCCCTCTCGTCAGAGCCATCGGAGCACTCCTCCACGCCGTTGCACTGCAACTCGTAACCGATGCACCGGCCGTCCGTGCAGCGAAACTCGGCTACTCCGCAACCTGCTTCCACACACCACACTCATGCACATTTAACCCTTCAACTGACCGTCTCCTGCGGCGGAGATACACGATTGTCTCATTCAGAAATCGAGAAATGAGTGACTCTTTATGGTTTCTCAGAGGTGAAGGTAGTTGCAACCGGTTGCACGTGGTTTGAGGATCTTTCAGGCATTCTACACTTCGGTTAAAATCAGTTTTGGTATCGATCTGGTAGGGTGAAATGGTTACACGTGGTTTGACAATGTTCGAAACACTCTGCTTTGAAATTTATCAGAAGATACAGGAGGTAACGAGGGGTTGGAGTAGAGTTTAGCAATGTTTGTAGGAGGTGAAACCAGTTGTACGTAGTTCGAACAAGTTTGTAGCTCGAAGTTTTAACGTTAAATAGCGTTAAAGGGTTAAAAGTGCAACAAAGCCGGCTTTCCGTCAGCTCCCTGTTTTGCAAATAGAGCACGCGGTATCGGCTTACGACTCAAGCGTCCCTATTGGCGTGTGCCTTTCCCTGTGATTCGATGAACTATTTCCATGAATGAAGCAACGGTAGCGGGGATCAATGAAATGATTCGCGACCTTCCATGGCAATGAGTAACCTGATTTAGGATTGAATCTCCTCGAGTGTATTCCTTTAATAATTTTTATCGCACACGATCACCGAAAACATTTAAAACAAAAAAAAACATTCGAAGAGATTCGGGCCTCGAGATGACCGCCAAACGGAAGGGGGAGGGAAGAGTAACTCGTTGAGGATGATTTTAAGGGTGGAAAATTTGGCGAAGCGTGCCATGGCGGAAAATTGCACGGAGGGAGAGGGAGATGTTCGGTCAGCATGGAAAATTGTAGATCGAACACGTTGACGAAAACCGTACCAGCAGATATCTTCCTGTTGGATACTTTAGTGGCGGAAGGGGTACGGAAACGCATCGAAGCGTATCACGAGCATCCTTGAAACTAGGATGAATCTCCAGCGTTCGTTGAGCTGTCGAGGGATGGAATTGGACCACGTGAACAATGTTCTTCATCTTTGAGCAATATATAATGTCTCCAAAAAAAAAAAACAACGAAATCAAAGAAATCTGGACAGTCGAATAGGACAAGGGAGAATTGTTAACAAGCTTAAAAAAAAAAAAAAAAAATAAAAAAAAAAGGGTAAAGGATAGAATGCTTATCCAGTGATCGATGTCAGAATTCTCTCGACAACTTCACGAACACTGGACCAATCCTCATCAACGAGGGTCGCCGCCTAAAGCAACTTGTTGCTCTCATAATAAGGGAATTCAGACGTTCGTCGCCGGCCCATTAGGTCAAAGTGTTCCAGAGCTGTAAATCCTCGGGGCTGCTCGCCCCAACATTGAGGCTAGGCTACCGAGGGTAAAGTTTCACCTGTTTCTTGGGAATAATCAAAGTAATATTCCTTAAACGAGACGAGCAGAATAGGCGACTTACCGCACTGGCTCTCGTCTTCGCCGTTGCGACAGTCTATCACGTGGTTGCATCTTTTGTCTATGCTCAGACAGGTGCCGTCCAGACACCGGAACTGGTCACCACTGCAGGTAGTCACTGAAAAAACGCGAATAGTGTCGCGTTAAAAACGGATCCAATTTACTGGGTATCTTCGCAACTAACGAACACTGCTTTGAGATATAAAATATAATTTTCAGAAAAAAAAAACGTTAAGTAATCCGAATGAACAACAGAAATAATTAAAGAAAATTGAAAAGGAGGATATTAACGTAAAAATAAAAAAATAAAATGATACCGTTGCAATTGTACTCGTCAGAATGATCAGGACAGTCCAAACGGCCGTCGCATCTCGCGTTCTTGCTGACGCAATTTCCGCTCGCGCACTCGAATTCGTCCGGCCGGCAGCGTGCTGTGCTCGTCGGGAGAAAACAAAACGGAACGATCAACGGAAATCCCACGGTCGTGAAAGTAAATTACGAACTTAAAGAGGAAGGGGGAACGACGACGGAGGCGGCAAGGCGCAACGATTTAAACCTCGAATGGGGACTTCGGTCGCGACAATCTGGGTGAAATTCACGGAATTAACGAAAACGTTTTCATGCGCGATTCATAGTTTACATAAATTCTATTACCGCATTGAATGAATTTCCATTGTTCCGTTAATGGAAAGAAATGACGTTTTCCAATTACTGTTTTTTCGCGGTAGAAATCGGTGGAACAGTGTTATGACCGAGGTGAGATAGAAACGAGCACTAAGGGAATACGGAGAACCGAGCAGTTAGGAAGTAATCGAACGTCGAGCGTTATGGAAATACCGAGAATCGAGTACTTAGGGAATACTCTATGGGAATAATCGCAGCTCGAGCACTATGGGAATAACAAAGACCCGAGGAGTATGGGAAACTTTAGTCAAAAGTATTGCAAAACCTTCGAAAGTCAATCTGAGCGGTCGCCGGCGGCGAAACGAAGCGGGGCAAGGCTCGTTCACAGTGGATAATTAGGCAGTCGGACGATCGTAATGAATCGGATTAATCGCGCCTCGCCTTCGACGTGGAAAGGGAGAACGGAGACGGAGGACACAGAAGGAACGAACGACTCTCCGAACTCTCGGTGCGGCGCGGCGTGCCGTGCGATTAATTACTTGAGAAACAAGCGACCATTATCGGGGCGTAAGCGTTATACATCCTTCGACGGGCGAGCGATTACTCGGCCGAATAACCACGCGACTAACCCCCCACTCCGTCCCACTGAAATCGAATCCAACGATTTTCCATGCTTTCCTGCCTCGGAGGACAAACTTGATGTACAAGGTGTTCCATTTCGTATTCGACTCAAAGACTTCACTTCATTTGTATTTCTTCTTTCGGTTAGACTTTGGACACTGGGTATATAGGCTCAATGGAAAATTATCAATTTTGTCCCAATTTACAAATGAGACACCTTGTATACAGTCGAGTTAATAGGCCTGGTTAGATCTTTTCACCGTGGCAAAATTAGTTCCAGTCGCGTCTATCCTTCGGCCAGGCTGTAATCTTTCGAGCGGGGTTTTAAGCGAGGTACACACGCGGGATACTTCAGGATCCACGTGTCACGGGAGAAAGTAATTTCCCGCCCACGGGAACGTGGGCTCTTGCCGAGAGTCCAGTTGCGCGTATAATCTTGTACTCAGAACTAGTTGCGTGGTGGGTACAGGAAACCGTTTGAATATCTGACCAACGACTGTCGATCGAACATACCGCTTTGGTACAGCTAGATGGAAGGTAAAGGAAAGGGTGGAGCGTTGCAAAGCACGCGAAATCGAGAAATCGAGAAATCAAGCATTATTTTTTTTTGTCATTCCCATGCTTTGCAGCCACCGTGCTCCTCCAGTTAAGAAACACGGGATGGATCTCCTCGAGGTCCTTCCTATTTAGCGAATTAGTCCCGTACTCATGTTTAGGCAATTCGCCTCATCCATCCCACCATTGCAATCCACGAAACCGTCGCAGCGTTTCGACAGCTTCAAACAATAGCCTGGCGTGCATTCGAATTCGTCATCTGTACAGGCTGGAAGAATCGATACAACATTCGATTGGGTTGCTTAGCTGTGCGAGAAAACGATACACATACAACGATGATCTACCGTCGATCGAGCGGACCTCACGTAGAACAGAGCAGAGAAGAAAGAAAGTAATTGCTGAAAGTGCACTGATAGCGAGGTTGAACGTCGATACAGGACACGTACAATTTACCTTCTACGAATTGAACAGAACGATTTCGTATGAAGAAAGTAGTATGGTACTTGAGACACTTGATGAGAGAGACGGAAAAAATGGCCCAGACATGTTGGTTCGGTAGACACATTAATCACAGGAAATACATTGACAGCGTTGAACGTATACTGATACAGGACAAATACTGATCTTTTAGAGGCAAGACAGAACAAATGTGCGTGGTACAGGGGTTACCGTGACATTTCATCGGAGAAGCAGCATAAATGGCTCCAGGCGTACATAGTTGGTTCGACAGGCAACACGCGCATTAATCCACAGAAATTGTAAATACAAACTGCGAAGACGATGTACGTGTGTTTGATTTACAAACGTAATAATCCTCAAGGAGCCGCCTCGTGGAACAGGTTCGTATGAAAGAAATCGCAAGTTACCGCGCGAAATCTGGGGGGAGAAACGGTCCCGACGCGTTGGTCCGGAATCGAGCTGGAGTCTACCGAGCGTCCACATCGATAGTTTATATACGGTGCTCGATTTCGTCCCTGTGGCATGTTCCTTGAACAGTTGCTTCCTTTTCAGATGGGAGAAACGGATCTCCAGGATGCTTGGCGCAGATTTACGAGAGGAACCGTCCACTTCCGGTACGAGGAACGGCCCTCGGTGGTATCGACGACCGGATGTCGGACTGTGTTCCGGTTCGAACGGGTAGGGTTAAAGAAGAAACTGGTGAATGAAAGAAAAGCGAGTCGTGGGGAATTAATTAGCGAGGCAGGACGAAGGAGCACGTGAACCCCATTAATTAACACGCACTCGGGGAAATTTCGCGGAAGAGATTATAAATGAACAAGGAGTTACGAGGGGTGATGGGGAGGGGAACAACTCACGGGGGCTCTAATTTACGGCAGCAATTAGCTAACGATCGAGAGGATGGACGACTCTTCGGACCTAGTGCACTCGAAAGAATGAACAGAAGCGCGGGCCCGGAAGCTCTCCCCCGTGTGCGCCTTCCGTGCCTGGAATTCTACGCGAGTTGTTACGCTTCGACGTTTGCCTTCTCGAGGAAATTCCTGGAGACGTGACACGAGAATGTACACGGAAAGCTGAAGCAAGACACGCACATACCAACTGAACAAATAGATTCGATATTTCGTGTTAAGCTTTTCCTTAATTATGGGACACCTTGTACATGACTATCGAAATTTGTTCAGGCACAGAACATTAGACACACACGCACACAAATTGAGCAAGTAGAGTTGATTTCTCGTGGCAAGCTATCCCTTACTTATGGGACACACGGTGTATAGCTCCTGAAGTTTGTTAATCGAACTGTGACAGTTGTTTGAAAGCGTGCGTGCTGCTATTTTTCGCGTGTCGAAGCAGACAACGTTCAGGTGAAAAAAAACAAAGAAACAAAACAAACAGGTGTGTATGGCCGTAACCGGCGGCCGTTTAATGGAAATACGGAGGCACGGTTCAGGTAATTACCGGGGGATACGTAACGCGTCTCGCGTGCCAACAATACACCGCCGCCGCGGAGCAAACGATTTCAATTCAATGAACGTTTGTAAGGAAACAATTGAATTCGAAGTTTCTTTTACGTCGATACAGGCTCGTTATTGCTAATCAGTAGTCACTGTTTGCGAGAAATTAAATGTTGTACCGTTTAGAAACTTCAAGTTATCGTTGACTTTTCGGACACCCGGTACGTAGCGTCTATAGCAGCGGACGCTTTTAAGTGGATTTTCTCGAGAACGAGAGGTCGTACTAAAAAAAGGATCGAAACGATTTTTATTCGTTTTGAAATGTACAATCGAATGGTCTAGTCACTTTTCAAAATCGATTACAGCTCAGTCGAGTTTCAGTGAGTTAAAGCGCGGCGGTACAGCATGGCGCGTGTCTCCGCAACATCCGATCCGATTTTCTCTGGCTGGAAATTGTTCCCTCGGTGGGCGATTAGATCGCGAAAAAAAAAAACGCGCGTGTAAGTTATCGCCACGATAAGATCAAGGTAAAACTGCGACGAAGAAATAGGTCGGCGACAATGCCGGCGAACAATGCGTTCCATTCTTCGCGTAAGCGTATTGAAATCGAGCGATTGCCATGGTCGACGCGATCCTGCTTGAAAATCCGACGTTCCTTCGGCTCCTTTCACCCGTGGATCAATGGTAAAACCGCTCGAAAAAATTGTCTCTGAACTATCACTAATGGTGATTAAAAAAAACATCACAGTCACAAGAAGTGATTCCTAAATAGCTCTAGCCATAGATCGACCCCAATTTTGATCCAAATTTTTCCGTCACCCGTTGGACACTTTGTTATAAAATTTCACACACTTGTTGCAATTACCAGTTACTAAAAGGGAAATAAGATTTTTCTTTTTTTTTTTTTCGCGGGTTACGTTTAAGGGCTTGAATCTGGTCCCATCCAGTGAATCACGTTCGTCACGCGTGGTCCCGTGGCCGAAAAACCGGATTAAAAGTCGATGATTAATTCGATCTCTGGGGTACGTGAATCCGGGGACCAGGTGTAATCCGTTTACGATTTAACGCGATTCCCGTAACACGCTCGATCGACGAATATAAATCGCGAACAGAACGGCGACCTCGAAATTGGCAAACGTGCCGGGACTCGTGGAACAGCCGCAAGCTCAAAAGAGATTCCACGATTTGTTTGACATCGTCGTCAGGTTCAAGGCCCGGCCGCGCCTCATTCCTATGCGGTATTGCGGGATCGCGATGGAATATCGACGACCGAGCGATCCAAACCGAATCCTGATCGATTTAGATTTCATCCGAGTCATCAGAATTCCAAGTTATACGTATAGTCACCTAAGTTGGGGGTATAGATGCCACCCAAGTTATGTAGTCGTCTAAGTTACGAGCTCACATGTCACCTAAGTCGGGATATTCCAATTTTAACGGTGGTTTCGTTAAAAATTCCTCAACCTTCGATGTTTATTATTTGGTCGAGGAGGCCGAGAGAACACGAACGGTGGGGGGCGTGAACCCGGTGGATTGGATTAAGCCGGTGAAAACAGGGCGAAATTCCACGACCTCGGCCGCGAAAGGGCCGACGAGCGGACGCCCGGTGAAGATTAACGTCGGATTAAAATTGCAGCCGGTTATTAGGGCGGCTTAATAAACGCGAGTAAATCTCGTTCGGCGACCGCGTGGTCGTCCTTAAATTTGGCGGGGGGAGCGTCGCTCGATATTAATGCCGCTAATGAAGTTCGTTGACGAATTAAAAAAAACGGAGAAAATTGAACGGCGGCCGTACCAACCCCCCTTCTCCACCCACCCCCTTCAACGGAGGGGGGTGGAAATTGTTTCTTTCGGATCTGACAACTCTGTTTGCTCTTATATGTATTGGCTCATGTAGTAGGTACATGAACTCTGTTGACGCGGTGGTTTTGTGTTAATTATAATTAGAATACTTGTCTAATTAATTCAGAAAGTTAGGGGATAAAGGAGGCCAGTCAGAATTGATGTACTCTGTTCGCTGTCTGCTTCGATAAAAGAGGCACGAGTGTCGCAGCGAAAGGCCGGATGGAAATGATAGGGGTCGAAGGGATATGAAGAGAGGGGTGGTAGGGGATGACAGGTGCAATGGCCTGAAAATGGCCAACCCCTTTCGGTGCCCTGCACGCTATTGTTATTGTCACAGCTATCACAATTATTGAGCTCATCGTAATGTCGCATGCCAACTTAACGATCACCCCCGATAAAACACAACCCTCTCCCCAGGGATCAACCCTCGTTCAACTTCCGATTGAATAAAAAAAAAAATGGCGTCACCTTCTTTTACTTCATTAAACGTTACCAAACAATCACACGAACTACCTTTATAATACCACCCTTATTTCACTACAGTTACTCTGTTAAATAAATATTTTTACAAAAATAAAAAAAATTTCGACTGATATTTACGTTTAATTTGTACATAATTGAAGTTCCTCATGGGTCGAATTTATTCTTAGCCAAGAAAGTGATCGATCGTCCCCTATTTTAGATACGATTGAATGTTTAGAAAATTCGAGTTTCCAGTTTCAAGAATAAGCCAGGAGAGGGTACGAATCAGTTTCATCGGGGCGACGTCCCGGAATTATTTACAACAAAGGCGAAACGTACGTCGACCCTTCCGCGGGATTAATTTTTAAAACCGCGGGACAGCTGACACATTCGAAAAACGAGAACTGACGCGCGAGGGCGCGTGCACATGCCACCCACCACGTGAAAAGCAAAAAGTTTAGAATATTTTTTAATAAAGCCATAATGAGAAGCAACATGCGTGTAAATATTTGTTTGCTATGTTTTTTTTTTTTTTTTTTTTTTTTTTTTGTTTTATTAATATACTCACGGCAATTGAGTTCGTCAGTGCCGTCATGGCAGTCCTCGACGCCGTTGCAGTGAGCTCCGCTGTCGATGCACTGACCGTTTCCGCATTTGAACTGTATCGATGTACAGGCTGCACAGAAAAAAAGGGAAAACAATTTGTTAAAAATATATAAAAAAAAATAAAATTTTTAATTTATCCTTTTAAATTTTAAAAGGATAAATTAAAAAAGGCAAGATCCCGATTCGGCGGGAGATTCGAAAACTTCGTTATATCGTAGATGTGATTTTATAATCGTATTTATACGGAGCAATCTGGACGGAGGATCCAGTCATTCGTTTAGAAAGTGCTCGAGTTCTAGTATTTCAAACGCAGACTCGACAGACGATATACGGAAAATCCAATATAGCCTGGACGTTTAATATGACCGGTTGTCGAAGGGTGTGATCGACTTTCAAAGGGCCACGAACGCGCCGACAGACTTCCGTGAGATCCTTCGAATCTAATAAAACTAAAACTGAATTTTCTTTTTTAAACAACCATACGATCATTAAGTCACTCCTAAAAATTAAATATGTTTGCTAAGAAACACCTCTCTGTGTAACACTGTTCATCCCCTAAAGTAACAAATTAATTATTATTGTTATTAATTTTTAAAACAGCGTCCAATTAACAATTGCATAGTTAATTTTAATAGTTTAATTTTGTAAACTATCGTCCAGAAATATCCAGACACTGTATATATTTGATGGTTTCTTAAATTTTTTATTCTTTTTTCATAGTCTAAACTGTTACACGCTTCGTCCAACGATTTATCGTCGATCAGCCACACTCGAGGCGAGCGAAAAATATACATATATCCCGTGTATCGCGTTTCCGGGATAAACACCGGTGGAAAGCAAACGGTCCAGTTTCAAGCGGGCTCCGGTACGTTTCCACTCCCCAACGACAGGAATCCGTCCAACCGCCGATGTTGTTTCGGCAATCGGATCGTTTTCACAATTATGTCATGTTCACTCGAGACAATCCGTTCGTCGCCGCTTTGGATTACGTTACAGTGACGCGTTAAATGGAGGGGTAGTGGAATTCGAGATTCTAAATTATTTATTGTTCAACCCTTCTTCCTCACCCCTCCGCCACAACGAATACACAAACCACGATCAGATGTATTCGAAATTCCAAATTAATAATCTTTTCGTTTGATGGGTGTTGGGGGTGGTTCAAGGGTGTTGAAAATTGACGCTCAGCACGGTACCATGATCCTCAAGTGGCCACCGAAGACACACTCGAGCGACTCTCTATTTTAGGAAGTTGATGACACTCTGCACCATGTGGCCAGCATAAAGGTGAGAACCCACCCCCCTCGGGGCAATTGGTTAAGGTGAATTCCGGCTTGCGGTGGCGAGGGTGACTTTGACGGTCAACGATCCAGTGGGGTATCATTCTCCGGTGTCACAGCACACTTGATTCCCCGGTTCGTTCCAACGCCCATTATGTATTGGCCTTGTATTATTAACCCCTATCCACAGGGGTTGAAACGTCGACCCCTAAATGTCATAATTCTTTTCCTTAAACCATACCATAAGCCATCTACTAATCTATACACTAATTTTTTAATTCCCAAAATCTCTTCGCAACACCAGGGGTGCTCACCCCTATAATAGGGGTGCAAGAGCCTCGAGATCCTGACGTCCACCGCCTGGTCCCTTTCCCCACGAAAATTCCCGGATAATCGAGTCGCATCGAGACTCGACATTAACATTTTTATTGGAGGGATGGGGAGGGGACAGGGGGATACCAGGCGGACAAGTGAATTATTGAGGGCGCCGCAACGTGTGTCGCGAAGCGAGGGCGAATGGAAAAGTTTGCTGGTGGGCCCATTCTTCCTTTTTTACGGCGCCTAGATGCACGGAGAAAGCTTTACGAGGCGCGCGTCTTTTTACACTCGCGATTCTCTTATCCACCCCTCACACCCCCTCGATGCGCCCTGCCTTCCTTCCCGCCATCTCGATCATAACTATTTAAGGCCCGACAAGTTCTGGGAAATTGCTGTTTCCCCGTGTAACCACTTTGACGCGCGGAAGTTTACACCACTCCTGGCTTAACCGCCATTTTCTGCCCTTGAAACGCCCTCGGAAACCCACGTAAAACCGCTTTAATGTCCCCTTTCTGGTCCCGTAGAGCAAATAAGCATGCAAGCACACAATTTTCCGGATCTCAGGGTATACCTTCTTTGATTTCGTAGCGAATTTCTCTCTGTGTTGTTACACCCTGTCGGTGGTGGTGTTTTCTTTCCACGTCGTTGTTCAGGGAGTTTTTCGTCTGTCGTAACGAGGACATTAGTATCGCGTCCAACAGCCCGTGTAAAGCTCGCGCAGCTTGCAGCTTTTTCGACGGAGCTCGGTTGGGAGGAAGGCTTGGAGAGAACCTGTTCGAGGTATCGGACCGGGATTAATTTGCCTTGCTGGAGGTTAGGGATATGATTCTGGAGATTATTCGGGTCTATTGTTACAGATGTTAGAGTTCCTTGTAACTTCTGTCTGGTTCGAGTTAACGGATTCGTTTTGACTGACGTTGGATGAAAGATCAATATTTGGTGCGACCCCGAATATAGTTATGGAGATGAGTTTCAGTGGAGTATATATTCTGTTGTTGTATCCCTGTCACTTTCTTCTAAATCACTGTGCTTTTGGTCATTTTTAAGCGAGAATATATGTAGGAGATGGTTAGGATATGCAAGATACGACAACACAGCTGTGGGACTAAATTTTCCCCGTTGGCAGTCCATTAGAAGCTCACGGACGATTTAGCAGAGGGGTTGCTCTGCTTTTAGGTCCAGCAATTTGATGCTGCTACCGGTTGCCCTGTCATGCTAATATCGCCAACTTTATATCGAGTCGCGTTTTTCGCCACCCCTCCATCTACTTTCTGATGTATGTTTTCGCGCGGAAGCGGTTCGAGCATCGTTGAACACCCTCTCTTCTCTCTCCTATCTTCTGTGTAAAAACCTTCTGTGTAATCTTGGATGTTGTTGATTTTTTTTATTGTTTTATGGAGGATACAAACATACATATTTTCCCTTTTACATCAATTAATTTCAGTTGAAAACGCAATATAAATACGGAATTTTTTACAGAAACAGTCACCCATCTTCTACCACTGCGAGAATTCTTCCTCTATCCATTGACTTACACAGATCTATCTTGTAATCTTTTAGGTATGTACTTTCTAACACCAATTAGACACTGCAGAAACACCTCTATCGACAAATATTCGATCAAACATCCAACCACCGACGGTTTTTCCTTGACAGGAAAGGATAAAATCACGGGACCGTCTTCGACAAAAAACCAACGATTTTACACAAGGATAAAAACTCGCCAAGCTTCGCTATACTAACCCAGAACACTCGCGTGATTTAGGAGATAACGAGTTCGGGCTTGCTCGGTCCTAATGAGACACGGAAACAAAAAGGGCGTGATTTCCCTTCGAGTAACGGGAAGGGAACCCCGAGGCCTTTTTGCTGCTCCTAAAACGATTTCGGAAAGTCTCTTATACTACCAACAACCATACCCACACATTGATAATAAACAAACGTTTTAAAATCCCATACCGCGGTATTGTCTTTAGAAATCGTGGAACGTCGATTAACAGAATATCCCCGAGGGACACGGACCGTGAGAGATAATCGTTCTCCAGGCCGAAAAATTACCATCGATTTCGAAGCCGGTGGTGAATTTGCATGAAAAATCCCCCTGGCTGGTCGATAAGCGGAGGCGCGCGGGTAACGAGCGGCGGCACCCGCCAGGCAGATATATGTATGTATACGCGTATAAAATATATTCGCGTCATACATCGCCTCCGTGGCCATACCCCGCCCAGGGATTCGACATATTTTAGTGGCCGATTTGCAATTTAAACGTTATAATTAATGACATCCTGTCGCGGCTGCAGAACGTGCCCGGATGTCCAACTACGGAGAAAAAAATAATTTCTTCTGTGAACGTGTAATAATTGTCGGGATTCAATTGGCTGAATCGAGGGAAACGATTCCATCTTTCTTTCTAGAAGATTCTTGTGGCTCTGGTATCTTTCGAAGCATACTTCTTAGGGATTGATTGGAATCTAATTATTTCAATTCTCCAAACTCGAATCCGAAATTCTGTAAAATATCGAAATTCGAAATATTTTGTTTTATTCATTATTTATTATTTATTCATCCTTATTTGATACTAACTCTCGATACTTTAGTAGTTCCTACTTCTTACTACCATTAAAGAATACTGTAATATGTGATTGAAAAATAAAATTTGAAAAAGCTGCGTCATGCTCTAGAGTCTAGAGACTCAAATGCTCTCGATCCTTAGCACCTTTTATTCAGACATTGATTTCCATTCTGTAATAACGATTACTGAGGCAGGCGACACGTCGCGAACGGAAAGCGTAATTATCCCCCATTAAATAATTACCATTTACCGGTTACGAATAAAACCTCTGTTTTGTGTGTCTGACTGTTATTTTAATTAATTTCATTGAAGGGCTGATGAATGCTTTGATTGGAAACATCTCGTTTATTAATTGTATGGGTCTTTAAGGTGACCAGGTAAGAACGATGCGTTTATTTAATTTTAGCAGTAGGGTGGAAATGGTGTAAGGATTGTGAAATCGTCGGTGTCGGGACGGAATCGATATACAAATCGTTGTCTCCTCTGCACAATGAACCCCGTGCACCGAGTGCCGCAATCGATAACTCGTTTACAATTAATTTCCCACCCCCTGAATGACGAATACTTTTCAGCAGGTAGAAGCGACTCGCTTTGAACGGAACCTCGTCTTTTCCGATTTCGAGTCTTTTACGACGAGCAGCGGTTCTCAGTCGTCAATCAGACACTTGGGAAGAAATGGAGGTGGTTTCAACCACACAAGAAAAGTTTCTACAAGTGAACAATTTTTCAAGAACACGAATATATCTATAAGAAGATTTTTTAAGAAACACTTCTTCAATAATTTTCAGTAAAAAAGGTTATGTCAATTTTACATAAGAAATTTAATGAATACTTATAGTATTTTATTTTTAAAAGAGTGTAGATTGACTAGGAAGAAACGGTAGCAAAGCGATCATTAGAGGGTAG